CCTCATATTGATATTGTTGATATTAAAGCAGCTAGAACAACTATACTTATATTCTTGTTTGATCCACAGTCGTATAGATTAACATGTCTGAGACCTCAGCTTATGACTAGTTTACTAGATTTATATGAAAGCGATCATCATTTGATGACTGCAACATATTAAAATAGTAAATCTATATCTACATGTTTATCAGCGGCCATATTGTTTCGACTTTTTAAATAGTTAACTTATCATGAAAAGTCACAAATATTATCTGCGTTTCTATGTCCAAAATAATCCAAAATGTGAACACAAACCGTTCGTGCTGTAAAGTGCATACAAGACTTACTTTAAAAATGAACCAAACAGCGCTTTCAGCCCTGGTTTGTTATGGTAATGTTTTTCAAAGACTCGGGGACCTTTGTACTTTGAGTTATTTTAATTTGTGTCCGTTACCGTGTGTGGTGTCACATATATGACAAGAACGCAGATATGCGAAAATGATGGCTCTTGGCAAAAAAAGTAGCTGACATAAAAAAGCAAATCTCGATGATAAAAGATCCTGCCGTTTTGTGGTCAATAACACGATATCTACGAAGTGAACTGGGGACACTTCTGTAACCTTCACCATTTGAAACTCTGAGGTAAGGTTTTACAGATGAATATACGCGTATCAAAATACGATGAATAATGAGAAAATCAAGTAAGACCACACGTTGATTTAATAATTTTAAATGAGAAATTACCATGGCGTTGAGTTAATGACTCGTTAAGCCTATAGTTCACGCCATCATTAATGCCTTATTCAGATACGTTTCGCACTTAATTAAAGACATGGGAAACGGGTTGATGGAACGAGATATTCCACTAAGGCGAGTTCTTATCGTGTTTCTTTGATACATTTTCCTTACTACTCAATATCAACTTCATATTTTCCATTTTCACTCAAAAATTTATTCACACCTGTTTCCTGAATCAATATTAGCATTTCGATAGGAAAGAACAAGTTGGCTGTCATCGCTCTCCATTATAAGATTCGGCGAGTGATTTCGATGTCTATTTATACAACTTGTGTAGTTTGAATGTTATAAACATGGTGCATTGAAGTCAAATAATGGCGATCAATCACAGACTACTTTTCTTATACAATAACTAGTCCACTGTGTATTGAAGTGAATAAGGTTATCATGAGATGACTTGTAGTCTTGAGAGTAAAATGGGGTATATTATTTTAAAGCGTGGCGATCATAATTAAATGAAATCCACCTTCCTTGTTTTGCCTCTGGAGCAATACAGCTTTGGTTAGATAGGTTTTGTAAGCATTTCCTGACCTCTACCAATAGTACACATGTTTCTTCTTTACATTCACAAATATAGGGCCTAGTCCTTCGGGTGATGCTAAATAAGAAAACAATCGTTTGAAATGCTTAAATTCGTGCTATCTTTAGGTCACACATGGGAAGTTAATGATCACTCGGCTTGATTCTGCTTCTTCCAACAAAACAAGTGTAGAGATGACAAAATAGGAATATAAAAATATCAAAAATATCAAAAAGTCCGAAAAAATATTATAGATTACGGAAACTCTTTGTGGTGTTTAACTAGAGTGTAGGACAGATACTTTTAATGTAGAAACCTAGCTAAGTCGAATAAAACCCATTTCAAATGAAGTGTGTAAACTGTGTGAATCGTTTAAAGACACATTGCATTTTTTTTTTTTTTTTTGCATTCATGTCCAGAGCTTAGTACGTTTTGTAATGATTTTATGTCCAATTTGGTGCTTGATCACACTATAGCTGGGCTATCAACATAGTGACCCCATATTATGGCGTTTATACGAGTATAATGTGATAAAGTATTGTTTTCAATATAAGGGATGCTATTTTCTAGAAACAAGTTGATGAGAATTTAAAAATGGTTTAAAAAAATATGTCTGATTTTAGAGAGAGAGATTCTTATTCAAAATCTGTGAAAACTTTACTGTACGTGAGGACGCCTCAGTGACTCCATCTGGTCCTATACCTACAAGTTTTTCCTAATACATTTATCATTATGTATCATCTCTTGGAAAAATGTTGTATCAGCCATGTGCGCACTTGCCTCATCTCGTTTCCATTATGAAAAACATGCCCTGGCCTCTGCCACGGGTATACATATATCATCCCTACATTAAAAATATTATAGTCCTTCATTTTGCGTTCTGTGACACCCCGACCACTCAACGCTTCCTCGCCTATGGAATCCATTAGATTACGAATAGGGGATTGTAATTCGATCATTCCTCCTATTGGAACATACAACTTGTCATATATGTTCTCTTGTTATGTAACGGGATGCTCCCCATTCTGCTTGAACCTAACATTATGGTCTGGATATAGACTGTGACAGTATGGAAGATAGGCATCATCAAGGAGTCTAGAGACAGCTTAGGATTAAAAAACATCAATACATACGCATTTTTAAACCAATGTCTGCAGTGTGCGTCAAAAGGATATTTCAAAAACTATAAGGCAATAAATAAATCGGACTAGTAGTTTATTATAAATGAAAGCTCACTGGATTATAAATAGTAGATTGGAAGTTCGAAGAGCTTTTCTGCATTTATCAATCCGCATTTATAAATAAACATTGGGAACGATAGGTGAAAAACATTGAACAGTACGTATCAGTTTTTCTTTCCTCGCTTTGCTCGTAAATTTCAATCAAAAGCACTTGAGGCAATTGATCTCACATATACTATATAAACCTTTGTCAAAGACATTAGAGGCAAGTAATTTCACATATTATTTGCCCTTTGACACCCCACCTTGCAGGTTATCGAACCGACAAGCCAACCGATGAAAATTAATCCGGTCTATTTGAACAGTATATTTTTAGTTGAAATACCTACCATAAAAAGACGAATCCTAAAAAACGTTCATGGCATTCAAAGAAATGTTTGACAGTAATACAACTAGCTATGACGCAAGTTGCTGCTTTTAAGCAAAAAAGATCTTTAAATTACCACATCCTTAATTACTACCCGTGCTGATAGTTTGTGGCTATTTTCGGGCTTCCCCTGACACTGTCTGATTTTTTCTAACCGCAGTGAACAAATCCGCATGGCTCATACCGATTCAATACATACATTATCCGAAATAGACAGTGCATATTAAAATCAACACACGTTAGCCTTGAATAGGCTCCTTGTTTTGAAAAGACTTCCGGTCTAGAGTATGGATATGAAGTTTGCTTTCTCGACTGGCTCGTAAAATGTTATGCTGTGCAGCTGCTATCATCCAAAGCCCAACGCACACAACACTATGAGCTGAGCTACCGGGAGCTCTGGATGGACAGCCCAATTCAATACTGCCATATTTGACAAAATGTTCGCATCAGAAGTTTTAAGGTGAAAACCAACCTATATTTTCAAGCCACAATGAAGGTGCACCAGGTCAGGCCAGACAAAAACACATCTAATAGCTTTTAGTGTGGATCGTGTCCTAAAGCACCGCAAAACCGTCTTCGACCTTATCTACGGACCTCGTATCAGCATTCACGTTGCGTAGACAAGCATTCAATAGACCGATATATTGAGAGGACTATAAGCGAAGCAATGCCATTCTTTGTGTCCACGGTACATCCTATCGTGCCGGGAAAAAGTCTCGACTGCAATTTTTACCACAAAATAATTATAATTAGAAGCATAAACTGTCGTAGAATTATGGAGTGCTTAATTTGGGCAACTAAATCACGCATTTTCAATTCACATTCGCGTACGGGTGCCTTGTATGGTGTCAGCATTGGTACTAGCGTACGCGCTGCCTGTGATGGCTTCGGGACCAACTGGAGCATACTAAAGTAAACTTATTTATCATATGGCTCTTTATTTCCTTACACTGTTCCTATGCCATAACCCAGTCTCGCATATCTTTTCTCCCTGCACTTATTGAATGTTATGTGGTCGGATAAGAGTCATTGCTCTTTGTGGTTCCAAACTAAGGGAAGTGGAGCGGACTCGCTTATTCGATTCCGGTGAAAATGCATTGGTCTTGTCAGGGCTCGAAGGCTTTGATGAAAAAAAACGCGGCAGCTATTGACCGCAAAGAGAAATGCATTACCAGCGAAGTTACGCTCTGTTGTGTGTCTCTACCCTGGGAAAGAACTAGAATTTTAGTCCGTCTGACCAACACATCCTTTTTTCTCCAATACAGATTCTTGACCTCGGATATCAGGTGTTGTTTAAGCGTTGTTGCCCAGTCAGACTAAACAGTAAATTTCACAAAACTGGGAAATTGATGACGTCGTTGTATTTCAAGAAAACATTTTTGAAATCAACAGGAAAATCGTTCTAAAGGAATATATCCTGATATTAGTTTATCTGCTTACCAATGGACTAATTAAACACGGGTCCAAGGCTTACCTAAACACAATGGTCTAGGGATATCTGGATCCAGTTTACAGTTTATATGGGTTTTTGAATCTCAGCGGATTGCCTTTCTTCATAGCTACATGTATAGGGTAAACTTAACTATAAGATTTTTTTCCTATATCCTCAGAGAATTTATAATAATTTTAGGCTTCACTAGGCTGTGCGAAGTGAAATTAAATAAATAAGAAATATAAGACAGTCACTATGTGTAACCGTTCTGGTAAATGGTAAAAAAAAACTCATTTACAAATAAACCTTTTGGACAATATTTTGTCAATGCATTCAAGATTAGCATTCAGACAGATTTCAGAAGTGAAAGGATAAAATCGATTGTAAGCCAGGGCGCAGTACAGACGGAAAGCTTTCAGAAGAACAAATGAACTAGTACATGTAGTAAGCTGATTGCCGTGCCTCCGATCCGATTCTATGTGGCATCAAAACCTGATGATATCAAATAAAAAACAAGCATTTATGTGTTCAACACTATGCACCTCTGCGCAAGAGTATTGAAACTCCTACAACAACGCATTCATACTAGCACCCATTTAAAAGTTAGCCTTCAGTATTTTCATTTTTTACATAAAATGAGCTTCTGGTCAACTTGACTTACCTCTTACTCTTATGTTCTCAATATTTTCCACAACAATTTGTCCATTTAATGTCTCTCCTGCGTAGTAGTGCTCTTTCTCCAATTCAATATCAAACTTCCGTATGTAATCCATATCTCATCTAGAAAACCTTAAATGAAAAAGATAAAAAGATAATTATACATACGCTTAATTTTGTATATGCTTATTCATTAATCGTAAGAATAATCGTATCAATCAGCTGCATAGAAAAGAAGGGAGCACGCACTTGATATCATCTTGTTGTTGGTTATAGACAGATTGAAAAACAGGAAGTGTTTAATATATCTTAAAGCAAGATTAAATATAATGAATGTGCTCCAATGAAAATACAAAGAAATAAAACATATTTTCGAAGTACAGGAATAAAATAAACACGAAAGTTTATATTAACACCTCTCAAGCATTTCTAGATGTTTGACTAGACTTAAACGGTCTTTTATCACGTGGAAATCATCCAAATAAGCTTTGAACGAGACTGTCGACACTGCTTGATGTTTAGTCGAACCTAGAAAAAGCGCAAGAATCTACGTAAGGTGGGGTAGACTTTTTAGTAATAAGAGCTAAAAGCAATGTGTCACGGAAATGTCGACCTAGAAAGAAATACAAAAATGACACACAGAACTATAGTTCAACAGAACTTATAAGGGAACGAGAAAAACTTTCACGGATGAAATCTGGTTTTATTCGTAGCCGGACAGCCCTCTTTTGTATTCCATTCTAGCGGACCCCAAACTCCTCAAAATGCCCCGAAATCTCGCTTTGGGATATATCGGATTGTTCCAACTATAATGTTAAACCTGAATAACCCCTACAACATAACCAAATTATTAAGGACAAGGGCAATGATAACTATACTCATATTGCATTTTGACAAGGTGATTATTTATCCACTGTATTAAGTATTCCATGATGGCAGCAGGTGCCTGTCTCTTATATCAAAATGCGCTACAATTTAAAAATAAAAATTACAATTAAATTACAGTTAAATTTTTTTATAATTTCAAAAATCGCAAAAACTGGCCACACACTATCGATCTCAACTTCAGGAAAATGATTGCGTGAGCTATTCACCTGGGTACCAGTAGAGCTATTAAAACAAAATATAGGCTGTTTCTGGTTATTCTCTGTTATCGATAAAGCCGTCTGACATGATCAGCGGACCTAGATAGGAGGTGATTCTCTGACGACAGATTATTTTGATCTGCCAATTTGGTAAAAAGAAACTCCCAGAGGGTAAAAGGCACTCGAGTCCTCTTCATACTGGATAGCGAACTGACTCATGAGATGGCGTAAAAAGACAACTCCCAAACGATCAAACGAACTGAGGGTGTGTTGTCAAAAGGATTACTTCATTCTGGATATCGAACAAACTTTCGTCATCAGGAGACCGGGTTGATACTCCGGATATCTAAGTATCGGAAGCGCAATGGTGTCTCCTCACTCTCCGCACAGAGTGTTTCCCAGTTGCCTCCGCCCCCAAGACATTCAAGTCCCTGGAAAATCAGCTGATTCATCCGATTTAATTTCTGGATTTGTGGAATAAAACATTCAAGGTTTGATCAGACCGTAAGAGATCTATGGCGGGATGTGCAATCAAGCGCACTCACCACGCATGCGGTTCTATATATCATTGTCTACCAACTAGACTTTCAGATTGTACATTCCTGTCGCTGCACGAGTTTCGGCCTTTGACCCGACAAGTGCACGGTCCTTGCTAGAAATGGATCGTCTTGAAGCCAGGAAAGGGCGGTCTGAGCGATACTGTAACATCATCAATGTTCTGTACATCTCTCCTACCCCGGTACGTGTATATTGAAATCTAAAATGACACTGGATGAATAGAATAACTGTTCATATTGGAAATCAACACATAACATGTAGTTATAATTGGCAAGTGTATTCCCCTTCTTATACCCACTTAAAAAGGTACGGGTTCCAGGTGGATGTTAGCATTTGGCAAAATCGCTTTTAACACTTTTGAGCTACAAGTAGTAGGCTGTCTAGCTTCTTCGAAAACCAAGTTAGCTTACTCAAGGAATGAGTCCGTAAACCAAAAATACCTAAATTTTTCAGGGGGTTGTTAATGATGTTTGGCACAGAAAATGAAAAATAACAGTTATTCAGCGCAGCGGATGTACAGTACTTTATGCGCTGTGCGACTTCCATTCCGTCAAATAAATCAAACTAACATATTCCATCGTGCTAAATTTCAGGTCCACGGTTGGAGGGAATGATAGTTCGAGCTTATTTCCCTTTAATTCTCAGAGTTTAAGAAAAAAGGACGAATGCAATTTTGTGTGAAGGTTGATTTGATGGTTTCACAAAGAAGTTTAGATCTGGAGACTAACAGCGCTCACTGTACATAATTTTTAATATAAACTCCTCATGGATACGAAAATGCGAATGCAAATTAGTGTACTAATCCATTACTCTCGGGGGGCTCGTAGGCTAAAGTACAAATGCATGGACGTACATGTAAATGTACCATGTGCACCAGAGTTGCACATAATAAACTAATAAGATGTTATCGTTGGGAATGAAATTAGTTGGGGGCCGGGTGATTATTTGTGCATCATGAGGATTCGGATTTGAACTCCAGACCTGCAACGTACAATACTGGAACATAAAACTGAGAAATTGAATGTTGTAATGGGTCCAAGATCGAGTGTAACGGGACCGGCCATAGCGAGTTCACAGACTGGCCAATCGTTAGCTCCTTGGTCCACAGGACTCACAGGTACTCGGGAGGGCAGAAATATGAGGATACCATCGAGAACCTTTGCCGCTGGAGAATTGCATGGAAAAAGTACATGCATTTTTCACGTAGGGCGCCGTTGTATAACGATTTTGGGACTCAGGAATCAGACAATGGTCTCACAGAGATGTTTCATTTTTCCGCTGATGGTATTTCCTTTATAAATTTTTGATACGTTCTTCGTATATATATATATATATTTTTTTTTTTAACATGCTCTACCCACGCTCTGCCTACTCTTTCACTCTTTCTCTCTTCTCTCCCTTGCATCTCTTTCAAAGCCATTCCTTGTTGCATATTAAAATGATAGATATGACATCCTGTTGGCCTGATTGGCATGTTCTACCCAAGCAACAGCAGAGCTGAACAGACAGATGATAGTTCTATCAGTTTCGTGTTCACCAGCTTATATTCCCTGAACAACAATAGTATTTATGTTGTATTCACTGTATCCACTCCATTTAGTAAATGTTCATCATATCCCACTGAACAGATGTAACAGTTACAATAAACGTATACGCACAATGCATTTATTAACCAATGTGTCGTCTTCTATCGGTATGACACGGCCACTTCATGGATCTAAAACACATGTCGACAGCCCGATTCTTGTTGCAAAACATGAGGGCATGTGACCGTGTGATCAGGGACCGATAACGTGGTTCAGCCAACCCAACTCAGTTAACCAAAAACCAATTTACAAAAAAAGTCTCACTAGATTATAGAAATTTACGACGCCATTAATCCGTTAAGCTGAAACGAGTTCCTTGATTAAAAGCCGTTTTCGTGCAGTAAATTACAGAATTACTAGCAGTCTACTAGAGCTACGTATAATGAGTTGGGATTCGCGGTGGTTATTAAATAATCAGGACAAAATCCAGGGACTCGTGAAATATCAATACAGGATTCTAGAAACAGTATACAAGTAGAAGGATGGACAAATATCTGGTTTTACAAGTCGCTAGTAAGATTTTGACCAAAAAATGACTTGTCGATCCCTTCCACATTTCACAATATGATATGTAGTTTGGTTAACGTTATTTCGTATGAGAGCCTACTGCACAAGACCTGCCTTTTCAGTTCTATTCCGTTTCCGTTTTGCACACCTGCTTTTCAAAAAATCAGACTGCAACGCAAGGCGCCGTTGAATAAGAATGAAAGAAATATAATTATGGGTCCCTAAAAGGATGCATAATAATATGTATCAATACAAAATGAACATCATCATTATGATATTGGCTGATGAAGGCTTTAGAACTGCAAATCCGAAAATTTCTGAGGAAAAGGGTAATCTTATACATGTATAATATCAATTTCCTTGATCAATTTTGGATTGTTTAAATGAATTTTTATCTAAAAAGTTATACTATACATTACTTTACCAAAGACATACTCTGTCTCTGTTTTTTATTCACCGTGCACGTGACCTGATTTGTCCCCCCCCCTTCCCTTAAAAAAACCCAGACACCCGTAAATAAGGCGGATCATCCTTTGGTTATGGAGGAGGCAAGGGGCCATTTACAAGTCGTTTCCTGAATAATTTTGTGTTGAGATACGATTTTCATCACTCGACTGAGTCATTATCGTGTTGAAAGCTGAAGCCCGGTCGTTATTGATGTGAGAACAAAGGGATTAGCCTAAATGCAAACTATCATGATACATATGCAATCTTTTCTATTGCTTTTCTTACTGTGTAAATATTCAAACCGCTAAAACAATTGTTCGTTGGTCCTCGGCAGTGGTAACGCTTTCAACAAATGTATAAATCTATGTGCAAATGGATACAAGTAACACATTACATCGAAGCACCGTTTCAATCTCAAATGATTTCAATCTCAAATGACTCAAGGAGGTAAAGGAGAGAGGGACTGCTTGAAACATCTGGCAACTACACGTGACCAAGGAAAGTCTAGCTATAATTCCTTGATATGAAGAAGGAGCTGTCCTGGGCAGCTGGGAAGTAATTTGTGGTTGGCAAGGCGCCTGCACATGGTACTAATTATGTTGATAACGTCCACTGAGTGCTAAGAAACATTCGAAACACACATTGAAAATAATATGTTTTGTTAAGATCCCCCTTGTTTCCACGAGAAACATGAAAAACAAGACGTTAAGAAGAGTATCACTGTGGATACAGAAATGCAGAACAGAATCCATTAAGGTTATGTAGCTTGAAATATATCAAAACATAACCTAATTTGAGTTTTTTTCTTTCACGTTCTTATTTATGTATCACTCAATCATATCTGACACATACTAAGAAACTATGCTAATCAACATATCGATGACAGGTAAGGCTGTTATTGTGCTCTGGTATCATTTTTACTTGTTGAAGTACCTGGAAGTGTTTTTGGACTATAATTCAATAATCCTAATTAAGTGTAGATAACAATCGGTTTGGGGGATAACTGTCTAACCACTGCCAATAAAATCGCCTGAATTGGTTTAGTTATTGACAAAATCGTGGAAAAAAGACCCGGTGCCACGGGTTTTTGATAACATCTTTTAAACCGGTGTTAGGCAGTCTTGTTTACAAAGGTCTATTGAAAACTAGTGCAATTTAAAGTAATTATTGATAGACTCTCAGAAATCTGCACAGAATGATTTTATGAAAATCAATCGCACCGTACTATAGCATTCATGTACAACTCCTATTTGCCACTGAAAAGTTTCTGTTACATGCCCAGTGGCCAGGTAGTAGAGAACATCAAGAAACCGAAAATAGGACTTTCACTCTAAAACCGCTAATATGACGTCATCCGCTAATATGACGTCATCTGAAGACAAATAATGCCCATTAACATTATGTGATAAAATCATAACAACTCCTTTGATATATATCTTTTTAAACCTGATTTTAGCTAACAGGGTATATAATCTTAAGGGAAAGTAGCAACGGGACTGTGTGTGTGTGTGTGTGTGTGTGTGTGTGTGTGAGAGAGAGAGAGAGAGAGAGAGAGAGTGGGGTGGGTGGGTGTTCGCATGTATGTTTCTATTCGTATAAGCACACGTGAATTATTTCTATCTTTACTCTGTATACCTGTCAAGTCCTTCCTTGTATTCTAAATACGTGTTGTACAAAATAGTATCATTTGTAAAGTTTCATTTTAATCGTCTACCTATACTTTTCCTTTTATAGTTTTATTTGCCACAGACACAAACCTCGCTTTGTGTATTTTGATTGCAGGTAAACTGAATTTTTGGCTTAAATAGCGTTTTACTGAGGATATTTTACTGCCAGATAGGAAGCAGCTTAAGCACAAATATCTTAATTAAGAAAGGATACCATTCTGATTGACCTCATTTTATGATGGATACTAGGTCATTTTGGTCAGATGAAAACATCCGTTGATATTTCAAAGCCGTCGAAAAAAATGACAATTTTTCAAAGAGCATGAGGCATTTTTAACTCCTTAATGATTCAGCGTCATCCTGGTTGTCTGCCACTTCTCTCTCAGAACTCAGGTAAATAGTTGCATGTTTAGCAATGCGATTTTACACTAACAGCACTCTTCCATGCAATTGCTGATGCTAACTCGTGCACATATGCGTGAGTGCAGATCTCTATGTATAATGCACCCAACGTGCAGGAGAGAATGGATGACAAACCTGGGATTCATAAAGTTAAGACTTAACTATGAGAGAATACTGTCAAGAAAATAAAATGTGTAAGTTGGTTACCACTGTCCACTTGCATATCTAATATGCCCCACCCCCAATACTGGAATGTTTCTATTCACCTCTTGTAAGAAGAGTGATCAACGCCCTACCGTTATGTTTTGAAGAAGTAAGGGTGTCTATAGGTGTTATTTAAACAAGTCTTTAAAATGAAAAGGGCCCTTCGGTACGTTTTGAAATCACGCCAGCAATTTAAAAAAGAAAAGGGAGAAAAAAATAATATAAAAAGAAATAAACGGAAATAAAAAGTTAAGTAGATGATTTCCCCCTGAGACTAAATCAAACGAATGATGATCTTAAATGTATATATATTTTTTCTTAGTGCTATTTATTATCATCATTTTATATTTTTGAAATGACCCAAATAGAGCACTTGAAAATGGATTTAGTGATAAAAGTTGAAAGGAGGCGCGTTAAAAATCTACGTGAAGAAAAAAAGCCGAGAGCAACGCTTAAACGTTCAAGACTGGCAATGGTTTTCCCACATTCTAGATGTTTGCTGATTTGTTGCACAACCTTTAAAATCATAGCAGTGACTGTCCCTAAGGTCAATCAATTTCTAAAGATTGTGCAAATCTAACAAATGCATCGCCTGCGTGACCATATAGATAACTGTCACAGATGACATAGTGGTTCATTAGCATCAGTCATTCCACGACCGTGTCGCCTTCACCATATCAAAGTTGCTCTTATAATAGTCTTAACTTATTCATCCAAACGGTGCCTAATCGATGTTTTCTTATCTCTTATCCTTTCACGAAATGGCTTCTAGGCAATGCTTCACCAAAAGGAAAACCAATCTCAATCAAACGTTCCTTCATGGCATCTTATGCATATCATACATTCAGAGTGGCTTAGATGGAAACAGTAGATATACATGGACGTACAAACCCGCATCGCTGTGATAATGCTGTTTACTTAAATACAGCTTATGACTCACCTGCAAACACACAGACTGTCTGTAATGGCACTGAATTAGTTCTCCTCGAAAATTGGACCTTCAGTCCGGTGATTATTTTATAACGGTGGGTCCAGGAAATTTGACGATGATGTCTACCCATAGGCAGTTCTCTATATTCTGGTCAATACTCCGTGTACTGTTAGTCATCGCCGCATCTTGATCTCGGCTAGTACCTCGGCGTTGTTTTTGTGGTGTTCAGTGCATCCAGATCCTACCCTTTCTTTTGTTTTACGTTGTACACTAGGAACGTGATCTAAATATTGAGGCAATCATAGGCAGCGTTGCCATGGTGACCAATGCGATATCCAATATTTTGCATGTTATTGGTACGCGAGCTTTGTCTGGCACAGATCGTTATCAGGGGCTTACCAGTCACAAAACTTCACAAGAGCCTCGCAGCCCAGCACGTCGAGGTTCCAGAGAAGCCAACCGTTCTCAGCTGATGTCTATACCGTTCCTCTTCACAGAACAATAGGCAATGAATATCGTGAATTGATCGCTGGATAAATTAATTAAATCTAACCGCTTACTTCCAACTGGTTCTGCGCGACTCCAAACTGTCTGTGCAGTTATCGATCGCCGTTAGAGCTCTTACAACCAGCACAGGCGCTGTTTGTATTACAACAATAGCAAACGGCTTTGACAGGAGAACCATTTTTGCTTCTGGATGAGCACGCGAAGAGAGGTGTTTTACGACAAACACCGAAAGTGCTCGATTGATTATTCATAATGTTATCATCTTTGCATTCAGTGAAAAATACACCAAAGCCGTAGCTAAAAACTTCAACTCACTCGGCCTACTTGCAAGTATGCGCTTGGAGCGATGACGTGGCTCTATGCAGGTGTCCATCGTTTTCTCACGAAAGCAGTTTTACTAGGTCACCGAATATCTTAAGGACAAATAGAACGCGTAATTTCCATCTGCCTCCTTGTATCCCAAGCCCTCTGTTTGTCTGTCTATATGCTAGTAGTCTGTCTGTCTGCTTCTCTGCCTGTGTACATGTACGTATGTACCAGTATGCCCGATTTCTAAAATAGACCCCATTGCGGTCATTCTACCTTCATGCAGTTACGTTCACATGGCCTAATAGCTAAGAATCAAAAGATATGGATTTGCACTGAATATTTTCTGTTAGTGCCTACAGGGAACTTTACTTAGCAGGGCCTGCACATTTGTTAACTTGCATGAAATACGTGTTAAAGTATTGCACATATTTCACGCGTGGGGAGGTTAGGTGCCTAGATTTAGATGGTTTATAGCCTTATTACAGGACGCGCCCTGGGCCTTGCTGTTCGCGATCTTTACATCACATGCTCTAATTATGCTTTCGGCGAGTCAAAGTGAGGTTTTAGAATTTATTTTAATAAATTTAAAAACTGTCAATTTTTTCTATATGTCAAGTTTCTTTTAAGTTCGGGGAGTAAATTTAGAAATATACGGTAAATAACTGGCATTTCATACATAAAAAAGGGTAATAATAATGGACACAATTGTTTTAATTCTTAACCTTCTCAAGATACGGCCAATCTACATAAGTTGACGAAACATGGTAATATTTGTTTCTTTTTTTCGTCAATAAGCGCCACATTTCCTACTTGATCATATGGCTGCATGGTAGCGATTTTCACTGAAAAGGCACCAGAATTACCTTTCCTTTCATTTGCACAACGGGGGCTACATTGGGAATGCTGTACCCTTATACATTACGTTTATGATTCATTAGTGTCGAAGTGCCTGGATTCAACACGTTATTCGATACTTAAAACGAGTGCTAAATTTGCCAATGACACTTACCGATATCTACTTTTTCCCTGTATATTTTGTACTCTGCACAAACGTGCAAAGAATATTTTAAGAACAGTGAAAAACTTCATGTACCCTTAGTTTTTCCTTATTAACATATAAGTAAAGATCTGGGCCTCCAAAAGACCCTAGCTAATACAAGCTTGAGTTCCAGGAATCAGTGATGATGCAATATCAATATATGAGACTAGAGCCATCAGTTATATTCTGTGGGTGGCTTTTAAGTCTCTTAGTCAGGCATAATCAGTTTCTTTTGTTGCATTAGACTGTAGTGCTAAAACTAATCTAAACGCTTTTGCAAAGCAAAACCTCTGAAACGACTGAAAACCTTTAAACTATATCTTCCGTGAAACTGCAAAAAAAGTCATATTTCTATACATTATGAAACTACTGTAATGCTTGTTTCTTTATTTTTTGGTTCGCTTCTCCAGCTCATTTTGTGTAAACTGGGTCGAACGAAATGCATTTCAATCTCAATAGGAATGCACTTGTGTAAAGCAGCTAAGTAGACAAGCATGTTATTTATTACCTTACGTTGTGTCTGCCAAGCGTCAGATGTTAAAAAAGTGAGTAACGTTTTAAAGAAATCCCCAAGAAAATTAAGTAGTTTGTGCTTTCTAGTGTATCAAGTGAAATAGCAGAAGTGTATGTAAGACTTGTTTAAAAATATGTGTCCAACTTGTGACCTATGAATGTAAAGACTAATATTAGCAGACTTGGCTGCAGTCCATTGCCGAATGTTCTCGTTAAAGAATCGATAGAGGGCATCTGTGACCCTAAAATGGAATACAATACAGTATACACGCAAACGCGCGCGCGTATATGTTCATCGAATCATTGAAAGAAGTCCCGAAGCTGCTTACAGTTTTTGAAGTTCAAACTGAATTAGCATACTGTGAATATAATACAATTTTGCTTAAAAGGTTGGTACTCCTTTCAGCAATTGTTTGTGAATTTCGCTTAAACTTTGTGTACATCTTTAAACATAGCAAATGTGAACAGTTTCGAGGCGTTATTTACAAAGAATGATTAATCATGTTTTAAATGTCCACTTAACTTATTTTATAAATAGCAGTTACATCCACAAGTTTGAAATCACGAAAATGGTTTAATCCCAAATTTGATACATCTTACATTAACCCCGACAGACCATGAGAATTGATTGAGCGGATCATATCCCGCAAAAATATGCTTACTAATGATTTCTTTATCAAAATATACAAATTAAAAGTTCATTTTGTAAATATCGAGTTTTACAAATGTATCCTTTCGCTAGGTCCTGAAATGAATGACATACGTGGTCACGTGGTCGGGTGAAGCCTCGCAAGTCACAGGGAAGAGAGCCAGCATGTGAAGCTATCAAACTGAGTAATCATTACCTGTACCTGTAAGAAAAGTTTCCAAACTCCCGATAGCAGCCCATACACGTTCACTTTTTTACATGATGGGTATAAATCTTCGTAAAGGCATGTGAAGCCATTTTCCTGTTTATTCAATTCTTTAAATAGCATTTAATCATGAATATGTCTACTAGTAGGCCTATAAACATAGGTTCTCTCTCTCTCTCTCTCTCTCTCTCTCTCATATATATATATATATATATATATATATATATATATATAAGGTCCATTTGGAGCAAATAGAAAAATGAAATGAAACGAGTTGAAGATATAGTCGCGAATTCTTCTTTTTCTAAAACTCTGCTGACGGAAAGTGATACATTTAGTTTTCTGTGTAATCATGCCAACCAATGCCCATTAGCGGACAATACCCATTTTGTAGAGTGTCATAGTGCTGACGTGGTTGGTTTTATATTTGGTGCTGATCTCTGTTCCCGGCAAGGGGAACATGTCTAAATAAATCCGCAAAAACCACATGGTTTCAATGAGCCACCATAAAGGTTGCTGTCACGCCCACTAAAGCCTGAAAGCGAGGAGATCATATATATCAGCTTAGGTTTCATAATTATTAATCTTGCTCTAGAATAATATTCCAGCAGTTTATGATATTACATTTAGCGAGAAATCCGAAAGAACCGTTGGGCATGAAGTTCTGGAAATAGGAATTCGGCAGACTTGAGGACAACCTCGTCACTTCTAGCCTTTTAGCACAAGTGAGGCAGGACCGATCCCCATAATCATCAGCGTGACACTGTCATTAATAACCCCTCTCAGGAGAATTTTAATAAAGGTTTTCTGGTCGATTTCAAGGCGTCTGGCAGTTTTTATCTTCTTGACGCCTGTGTCCTCTTAGGCGACCGTCTCACTTCTAATTTCGTTATCAGTGAAACTTGACATGGTTAAAATACATGTAATGTTTTTGTTCACTTCTATTTACACATAGTTTAACCAATAAAGTCGGAACGAGGCGACCACAGGTCTTTATATCCTTGCTAATATCCTGGCCATAAAATACGAACGTATGAGGGGATGTCAAAAAGTTTTGAGCCTTGCATATTGCGCCAAGTAAAGTAGTGTATTCAGGGTCGAAGATTTGAGGAATATGACGGGTTGACAACTGCTGTGGATGTTATGTTCAGAACTATTTAAAAGTTTATATAACGGCTAATGACCAGTAGGGGTTCAATGGCAGGCAAAAATAAAATTGAGCAGTGAGATGCAATTATGTAGTTTTTTGTGTGAAGCTCAAGCGTTTCTGACATTCCTTCTTATTCCTATAGTTTGGACAGGGTGACAATAAACATTATCATCAATAAATAAGTAAGTTGATTCCTGAAGACTTACAAACAAGAAAAAATATCTTAAGATATTCAGCCTATTGAACAACTGTGTATATTTGAATGAATTTGAAACTCTATTAAGAAAAACATAGATAACGCGATCAAAACAGCGTTTTTACACGACATTACATGTACCAGCTGTTAATTTGGCCATCTCGTCTTTAAGTAGGTCTGATCTGTATAACAATGTACTGCACTGAATCATTCACTTATTATTGTATTGGTTACAGCATTCTGTAACAAAGCTGTTATCCTAATGGCTTTCATTTTGCTCCTTATTAAATGTAACTGCTTCTATACAAATAACGAAACTAATTTCGACCCCAGCATATGTCGACATCGAGAGATGAAAACAATTTATTCGTTTTATCGATCCTCGGCTAATATATAAATCACGTTGCAGGTTTGTATCGTTATAGATTAAGGTTAAATGAATTAAGACGTTACAATTAACTGGGACACACTGGGCACATACAGATGTCCATAAATAGACCAGTTAATTGGTCTTTAATTTACATATGAAACTAGAAAAGCATTCCGAGAGCGCGGACCTCCGCCAAAGCAGCGATTTTTGATTATTATTGATTATTGATTGATTATTGATCCGGATCACCACCAAAAAGTAATAATCTCTTCTTTGGCACACTTCTGACAGTTCCTGATAATTTCATCAAAATCGGTCCTAACTTTTTTAGTTATGTTGATGACAAACAAACAAACAAGCAAACAAACAAACAGACAAACAGGGGTGAAAACATAACATCCTTGGCGGAGGTAACGAGCGTATATTCCGTGTAACGCATACTGTACAAACCACTTGTACTAGTTTCTTATACGACTCAAATAAAGTCTACATACAAAAGAATAAACCAAATAATTCACCGGTCAGTGAAATAATAGCGTTAAAACTGCACATTCTTCAATAGAATTTGTTTAATCAATAGCTATAAGAAATTCACTGATATTTACAATCTAATTCGTCGTCCGCCAACAGCCAGACTTCATCAGAGGAAATGAGGACTGTGATAGGTATTATAACCTCTCACCTTCTTCAAATTTCTGGTCGTAAACTTGACATTTTAACAGTTCCTCCAGTTTGTACAAGTCCGCTTAGTGATGTAGTAATGTATGACGCATTATTACTGCGGTCGCATTAACAAATATTTGAATGGGATTTGACCAAGTGTTATTTATAGCACAGAAAGAAAGCATAAAATGTCTGTTCAAATATCAGTTTTCGGGAACTTTGGACGATACCCTATGATATTCCCTTAAATCATGCTAGTTGAAACTAAACGGAGGCATTTAGTCGGATTGCAAAGTTTGACTTCGTATGTAACTTTAAGTTTACATGTACTGTGTACAAGTCAGTTAGTCGTTTTGTCTTTCCCCAGAACGGGCTACAGTTTTAGTCTATTCGTTGAAAGGTATATACCAGTATCAGGGTTTATAACATATAATTGATAAATAAGCAACACGTGCAAATTTAATAATGCATCACGTTGATCAAAATAAGCTCCATTGATATGCTCCAACGCGAGTTTCTCCGGTGAAATTTTAAAAAAGGAAATATGGATATCAATTTAATGGAAGATTTATTCACAATGTGACCTAGTTTAAACATACTTGAGTGATGAAAAAGGCAATAAGGCACTAGCGCTGTATTTTCATAACCCCTGATGAAGACCGTTAATCTCATCTCAAAAACGGTGACACATTTAAAGTCATTATTACCTTTCTTATGATATTACGTATACTCAAGTCCATTATGCAAGTCGGTGGCTTGGCAACGTATATTCCATTAGTTGAGACAAGCTCAGCAGCACGTGTTCGTCACCTGAATGAAAAAAAAAACTGCGTATATTGTTGAGCTCCTCAGTTTTTTCCTTGACCAGACCATTGGGGAGTCGCACCTACTGCATTATGTGTCTCAGGTCAACCAGTTGCGACTCAAAGAACCCGAGCACTGTACTTATTATTGGCTGTTTACGCAGACAAAGGGTTTGGGAATATTAATTCTTCATAAAAATATGGGTTATTCGGTACATTTTAAGTCTTTCCTCGAAATTGCAATCACAATTCGTCCCATGGTGTATTTATGTAAAGTATGTCTCATGATCACTTTGCCTGACATTTGAAAAAAAAAGAAATATTGCACAAAATTATTGCAGAATGTAAAAGAAAAATTGTACTGAAAATCACATCTGCCGTTCCACTGTGAATATAATTTTACTGTATAAAGCAGTTATTTGTCTCAAACGAGGAACGAGGAAATCAATACCATGGAATAAATCTCAGTTTGTCCCTAAGGCATAAAATTGAAAATATTAGAACCGGTCTTTTTGATATCGAATCTAATCAAATCACCCGGTGTCCTGCTAATTGTCATTAAGACTCGCCTCAAAGTCATGTCCAAGTCACATATACTGGAGCGATGAACATGGGTCTTTATTTAGTGGCTTTAACACGCCATAGTCCCAATACAGCACAGAACGGGATGAATTCGGATGGTCACTGGAGAGTGACTTTTTTAAAGCCAGCTTATAATAATGTGACAGCTAAATAGTATTTTAAAATTATTTACACGGCCGTGTAAAGGTACATGATTACTAAATCCATGGAAGCACTGCAAGGTCGTATTCAATGGTGTAAAGAAAAAGGTCATTCGTGAAGCGTATTTCAATAGGCGTATGCTCGTAGCTAATTGGCTGGCCTGGAAAATAAAAAAGGTGTGTCGCGTTTGTTGTTAAAATACCAGCAGAAGGACGCGGTCACGGATCTAACGTTACATTATAAACACCTTTCCCTTAGGAAAGACTCACAAGTTGAAAGACTTTTGCAAAGAGAAGGCCTTTCCAAGGTAAGTTATTTATTTGTATTAAAAGTAATAAAAAGGGATCTGCCGGGCATTAGATAAGCCATCACTTAAGGAGCACAGGCGTCAATTAAGTGAGTTGATTTTTAATTTTTATCGGTTTCTAGTCTTTTAACTTATCACTTTCTGTTTACGCCTTTTAACTTAACACTTTCTTTTAAGTTGTACTAGTACCCAGTCCCCACAGGAGGTAAGTACATCCATATCAACTGGCAAGGGTCAGTCACTCAAACGTTGATTAAATCTAGAAAGAAAGCACATCGTCATTCACCTTATGGGAGTGTTAGTTGTGACGATCCCTTTTTACAGAATAAAGGATTAACCCAATTCTAGTTGTAATATGTGGTGCTTTAACTGCAAGTCTGATATTTTATATTGTCCTGTGGTCTATCCTGCAACAATTGCAGTCCAGCAATTGTTTCAGCTATGAGGTATATTACTGGTAACATATAATTCTAACGAGGTATTTGTAACCCTATGCAACAAGATAGCAACCAGATCGCTTTACTTTAAATGATCCCGTTTTCATTTCACGTTGAGTTATTTTGTGCATCACCCCTTGCTTGCCGACAGGCACAGGTAAACCCGTATGACAAAGAGAGTAAACCGTATGACAAAGAGACGATATAAATAGCAAGGTAAATTATTCGAAAAAAAAAACGTGGAAGACATCCACCGGTACGTGAGACATACAGTACGGTATCCATACCAACGGGAAGGGGGCTTAATTTTTAAACAAGCAAAAAAAAAAAAAAAAAAAAAAAAAAAAAAAATGAGAATACACAAGGCGGTTAAACCGAACATACATGGATGTATCATTCATAGATTGGATTTTTCAGTTATTTTTATTAACTCCTTCCGTCAACAATAAACATATAAATGGGCCCGAAAAATGTCCCAGGGAATATGCATCGCCCCCACAACCCAGTCTTCACAGAGACACGTGGCCAAATGCCTGGGGGATGACAGAGATCGTCTGTCAAGTAGTGACTATAAAGAGCCCCTGTTCTGTCTGACTTTTAATAATGGTGATTATACTTAACATCTACCGGTATCTAATTGGATAAAATGCAAATGGATACTTTTGTATACTGACCCGTTGTCGGTATACGTTATAATGGAATGTACCGGTAGGCACCAAGGGCGGGGGAAAATGTAAGACGCCCAACTCACTATCAATTTCATCTACATTTCAAGTGTAAGCAAAAAGTTTGTCATGATTTCGGAGCCTGATTAGATAGGCTGACTGCAGTACGCATTTAAGGCGACACATGGAATTCTTCAGGTCGTGATACATTTTCATACCCAGCTATTGGGCGTTTTGTTCATACTACGGTTCCATAACAAATGGACACACACACACACACATAAACATGTTTAATACCTCTCTCTCTCTCTCTCTCTCTCTCTCTCTCATTGAGATGTCAAAGTGGTTGCACTTCACGTATAAAGCAGCATGACAAGTTGCATGGCTTCTACATAATTATGTAACACCCTGTCGGATGTCGTGCCGTGAACAACGTCTTTAACGCACACCCAACAAAGTCATCATCAGTAGCTACTAGCTGCATGTACATGTTTTCGATTAAAACACGTTACGCGTACCTTGCTCCATGTCAGCCCACTGTACCTTTAAAGCATGCAATTCATTTGCTTGTCCGGTAGCGTGACCCACTATATGTCTTTTAAGATTTATTTAGTTTATTATAATCCTTGTCTCATCGTAGATTGTTTTAAGCATGTTCTGTATGCATTCTTGTCCACTACCAATCTATACCTTCAGCGATCGGCGTGGGGAATTTTATTAATTTTTTGCATGATTTTCCCGTGAAATCTCTATTTGACATATCTACATTTTCAGTTTTATGAAAGGATCCCTAAAAGAAATATTCACATCTGAGACGCAATTCACGTCCAGTTATGCAGTGGACGGGGGTCCTCAAGCTGCTGCTGTTTATGAGCTATGCCCACGGATCGGCCAGCCAGCAAATGTGTAAGTCGTGTGTTTATCATTTTTCTTTTTTTCTTTTTTTTTTGTCTTCCCAACAGGCTGTTACTGATGAACAGTATTAGTGGCAATAATATCAACTAAAGTTCATTGTTTCGAGTAAAATGCACATAATAAATTTCTCATATTTGGTCAGCAGTATGCGGTTTATTTATATTTTTGTGTTTGTGGAAAGAAATAAGTGCTTTATTCTTTTCAAATGTATTTGTTCACAAGTGTGTGTGTGTGTCTGTGTTTGTGTGTGCGTGCGTGCGTGCTCATGCGTGTGTGCGCGCGTGTGTGTACAGAATTAATTCATAAAAATGAAGCGTTCTCTCGGTGCTTTTTCTTCCAAGAGCAAAACCCATTTTACTATCCCCATATTTGGTGTATTTTGATAAGCTCCCATCTGAACTCCAAAGGGCCGCCACACTAACCGCTGCAACCCATATCAAAAGGGTTCTTGAATTTTCTTAAATGCACAGATTGACAATGGTCGCATTTTCCGTGGAACTTTTCTTCAAAATGGATAAAAAAACACTTGCATGTTTTTGATGTTTGATGGGGGTGGGGTGAGGTGAATCCAGTTGTTTCCGGTAGAATTTTACTACCTTTTCACAACAGTGTTACTTTTCAAAAGTTTTCTGAAGTTCAATGCATCTGTATAATAATAATAATAATAATAATAATAATAATAATAATAATAATGCCCAGAATGATAGTGAAATATCTCCTTGAACATAAACAAGGCGTGCTATAGATGACCTTTTGTTCCCTTTTAGTTTGTTGTTGACCTTATATTACATGGTTTAGATATCATCTATATCAGATTTGATATCAGTTTAATCTGGAAACAATGATTGTAAGCACGTGAATACGCTCTTTAACAATTCTCTTTCCCGCCGAACTTCAAAACAGATTAATTTATTTTTATTTTGTTTTGATGACATATAGATAAGAAAAGATAGAGTACAATAACATTGTTTATTTCTTCTAATAAAACCATGCAATCCTTGTTGTGAAGGAAAGAATAATAGATATTATTATATTGGAAGGGTTATTTTCACTCTTTTATAAACTTTTCTTAATGTCCATTGAAAAATTTATCATTTGTATACATCCAGTACACAATTATGAACGCGATCTCATATCAACATTTTATGTATCTGGTCCGTTCCGAAATTCGCTGTCAATTGATAAGCCTCCCTTTGTTTTTCTCGAATTTCGAAAGTCTTAATTCTAATTTAAAAGAAAATTATAACAAGGTGTACCTAAGTCATGTAATGACCATCAGGATCAAATTTTGCTTTGTTATTTTACACAGAATTGACCCACATACTAGACAGAAATAAGGGTAAAGTTGTTACTTTTAGCTTCCTACATATCCCCGTACCCGATGCGAACTACAGGTACACTGTATATATAGATTAGTTTGGGGTATTTTACAAAACTTCTTTGGGCCCGAGCCTTTTCCCAAGTTTTGGTAGGGGAGAGTAGTAGCCTACATGCCATTTTGACTTGGATAAGGGGAGGGCTTTATTTGGTTATGAGTCTGATATAAAGCTCATGGTTTATTTATGTATATAGTGTTGAGATATATTTTCATTCATTCATGTATTATTATAGCGCAACGAGTCTCATTGCTTTATAATAGGAGAGCGCCCAGGCTCTCGGGCTTATACATGTAAGACACTTTATGTGCTAAAGTCCCCTTGTCGTTTATCATATATCAATTTTCGATATTAAGAAGTTTGTATGATTGTTAATTTTCATAAAAGTAACTGCATATTTGTCTTCACAATGATCTGCTAGGTAATCGCAATATACTGATCCACCTCACCCTGTGATTATCGTTTTTCTGTGAAGCACTGCATAATGGCAATTTCTTTTCCACTAAACCCATTATCTCCGCTAGCATTTGTGAAATACCCGATCATGTCAATGTATGACAGTGCAAAATATGCACTCATCTATTTCTACCGATACAACTTTTTTGCTTGTCATCGCCTATAAGATGGATTATTCCGAGTTGCCCAGAGAAAGTACTAAAGCTTCTCTTTTCCTTTCGTTTTAATACAAACTCTTTGGACCATAAGCATAATTAGGTCTTATAACAGCAATGGGTCTTTCATTAGTTCCGCCAGTTTTTGAAAAGCATAAATGAAAGAATTGTTATGTACATATATCATAGTGTGTTTATTTGTTCTCTTTGACGCCTAACTTTTAGTGAAACGTGCTTGTAATACAATAGCACGTCTTCCCAGAAAAATATTTTCGGGATGAGTCACTGTTAAACGAAACTTAGTATAATAAAATCATAAGAATCTCAGGGGTGGGAGTGCCCCTCCCCTATAGCTGTTTTCGTTTATTATTTATTTATTTATTTATTTATTTATTTAACTACCTGTTTAAATTATTATTCTGAAATTCTGGTTTATATATCCAGACTGAGTAACTACTGATCACTGTGTCCTGTCAGTGTCGCCGCTGTTGCTGCCACTGCTGGAAACTAGGGACCCTTTTCACACAGAGGGAAACCATTTAAATTGAAAAGTGGCCAATTCTTCAGTTTTAAGTTTTTCTTTCTTTTGCATCAGCTCAAATTAAAAACATTAATACAGTATTAACTTGCCATTGGTGCGGTGAAAACTATACAGGATAAACCGGTGACACACTCCGACCAAGTGCTTTAAAAACTCTTTGTTTCGACACGGCATTACAGTCAAAAAACAACAAATAAGAAAACCCAAGTATGCGTGTACATCTGTGAATGGCCACTTCAGAGAATGCACTGAAAGTCAATATAGATTTTTTACCACTTATACAACTAATCAATTCAAACTGAAAGGGGCATTAAAGATAATCATTCCATAAAATTATCAGTTTATACTGCGTTTTCTACATAGGGTTATAATATTATAGAATCCTTTGTTAAATAAAATGATATCTGTGCCCTGCAGTAAAAAACACTATAGTACTCCAAATGTTGTTTTCGTAACAATTTTCGTAGCAATCGCACTGATGGAATAAAACCGGTCAGGATAAAATGCAGCTGTTCTTGTGTGTGTGTGTGTGTGTGTGTGTGTGTGTGATATCGGTGATGTACTGGAATTAATTAAATATATTATAAATATTTATCACTTAAACATTTTATAAAATGAAGTGAAAATAAATTAACAGCAAGAATTGATACACACAAGATCATACAGAAATCATTTATGACATGTATACCAAATAAGTACCAATATATATGGATTAAGCTTTACATTTATTGCAAACAAATATTTCAAGACACGAACGAACCAAAAATCAATCCACCCAGGTTCGCCACTCTTTTCACACCTCAACTTTGTAATTTCTTTCGCACTTGTCATATGTCATGTGCGGTAAACCCCGGTCAGTAGTAAATTACAGTGTATCCGCATTCCAAATGTTAAAAACTGTCGCTATGGGCACTGCACTTCTTTGGAAACTAAAGGACATCACGACTGATAAATAAACTAGATGCTGCCGATGGGTGGAGTTCCACCAAGTGATAAATAGGAAAAACCGAACAAATATTTATTCCATTTGTAGAAATTAAAAATTAAGATGAAGTTTAACAGCCAAAATTTCGTCTGCTGACCAGTCAGTCTTAATCACGGAAATGAGGGCTGTGATAGGTAATGCAACCTATCACCCCTCATGTGTGTTGGTTCAGTCAGGTGACCCCACCTCTGCTTGCCACCTCAGGAGAGGAAGCTAAAGGTTGGGTAACTCACCTGGGAGGGGGGTGATGGGTTGTAATACTATTTGTCATGATTGCGTAATTATCGCGTTTTATTTGCAACTGCTTTTGTAAATAGGCCTACCTCGCTGCATTGTCATGCCTTGCAGAGAGTGATATCCATCTACTGTGTGTTAATTCAAGCGCTCGCGTGTTTGATTGTTGTAATAGAACGTTTAAAATAATACTTATATAAACCTTATAAGGTGCCATCAATGACATACGTTCATTCTTTCCTAAAAAATTATTTTCTAATTTTACAAGCTTTTAAGTAGAGCCTATTAGTAGATGCATCCTAGATTTTATCAGCCAGTTCGTCTGTTGAACCGAAGTGTGTGTGTGTGTGTGAGAGCTTGGACCTAAATATGTCCATGGTGAGAGAGAGAGAGAGAGAGAAAGAGAGATTACTGACTTTCAAACAACGCACTCTTTATTAGAATAGATGGATGTTCTTTATAAGAATAGTTGGATGTTCTTTATACGAATAGTTGGATGTTTGTTTTTCATTTTAGGTTTAACTTACCGAGGGGTACATGTAGCAGTGGATAATCTTGTTGCATTTTTAACACTTTTTCACTCCGTACATGTATTTTGAAATTTCCAGCTTGCCCCGGGGGTGGCAGTGCCCTTGGTATGGAGGACGGACGAATCACAGACCAGCAGTTGTCTGCATCTAGTATTTATACAGCTGACTCAACCCCCCAGATGGCTCGACTGAATAACACGGCATCAGGTAGGTGAAAATTGCCGCATGCTCTCATGCCCCTGACCTCGTGTACAGACACCCGCTCGACAACTAATTGTATAACACTTCATCCGTCAACGAATCTGTCAAATTGTTGTGTTCGTATGCTAGAACACATATTTGGAAGAAAAATCAGTCTGCAATGGCGTGCCCAAGATATCAATAAGGTGTGGGAATTTTCTTCCACACTACAAGGTACTTTACCCTCATCTTGTGTTATGAAGAATTTTTGGGTAAGTATGACCAAATAATCATCAGGCTTATTTTCACTCCAGTTTTGATTTAATGATTTTATTTATAGACTTACAGACAAAATTGATTACCTGCAGCTAATTGTCAGTTAAAATATTTATTTTGAGTATTGAGCCATTTGTAATTTATAGGTTACAGGGGCGCCTGGGTTCCACGGTGGGATCATTCCTACGCAAACGAATACCTTATGATTGACATGCTGGTGCCCCACATTATCACTGGTATAGCTGTACAGAACGGGGGAGCAAACTGGATAAACTACTGGATGAAAGAGTTTGAAATCATGTACGGTAATGATAATTTGTCATGGAGAAAGTACCAGCGAGTAGAAGGAGAAGACATGGTGTTTGCTGGGATTTCGTCGCACGCCAGAGATGATATCATGACGTACACACTGGATCGGCCTTTTTCGGTGAGAATCGGCCGTATCCGCTTGCTAGTTAAGATACGTTGCTCAAACCAGTGTTAAATGGTAAACATTGTCAGTAAATGTACATTGTAACTTACAATGTTTTGTGAAATGAATGTATTTTGGTAAACGTTACAAAAATACTAAAACAAAATTTTAAAACTGAAAATGGATTGGCAAAAATATTTGAAATATATATAAATATACATGTCCACACATCTGCATCAACTTCTGAAATGCAACCTTAAAGTAAGATATAAACGCTTTTCTCTATAGGCAAGGTACATAGTTGTCTCTGCTACCAGTTGGCAGAATGCCCCCGCCCTTCGTATGGAGCTGTACGGCTGTCACGACCCAAATCCAAGTTCAGCTACTTACACGTTGGTTCAGGCAGATATAGTTGTAAGAAATTACTTTATTTATATAAATGCGATGTTGTAGTGATAATGTGATTGAATGAAAATTAAATTTCACTAATTTATGTTATATCTGAAGTTGGTATCACGTAAAGCATGACATGTTGCATGAAATAATGGCAATTAGTCCATAAGGTCTTACCAGAAATTACGTTTAGAAATGAGCATCCTGTTCCATTTTTGCGAGTGTAAAATATAGGGCGAGTTATGAGCTCCAAATGTCCTAAAGTAATTACTTTTATGTCCGTTAACTTCATATACCTTGCCGATAAGCCATGATTTGAGCTTTTAGACTGGAACTTTTTTCCTATGAGTGTGGTAAGTTGGCTACCCAATAGGAGCAGTCACCTACACCTACTCACTTGTGACCTTGACCGTTACTATCATAGGAAAGGTAGAGCGTGGTTTAGTACTGCTGAGCAATCAAAGCAGTCATTTCAAAAACGCCAAGGTCAAATTTACCTTATCACCGACAATATAAGCCTTCTTATTGATCCGAAGGTATAAATTGTTCCTACAGGACAAAGAGTTATTCTTTTTCACTAACTTGTGAAAATTTGGCACTTTTAGTGTGGTGAACGACCTTCAATATGCATTAATTTATACTTTTTTTAGCAACCTCTATAAACATATTACACTCAAGAAAATAGAAATGGTTTGAAACGATATTGATGGACACCTTACAGACTGAATTGATTGTTTGCAAATTTCATTATCTTTTTAGAAATAGTCAAATCAAGAACTCAACGAACATTCTTCTCCTGATAACTGGTGAGACGAAATGAACTGGGATGTTAATTTAATTTACACTATTAAATTTTGCCACTTACAATTTTATAGACACCTTCAACGTGGAGCCCGTCGCAGAGCCCTTTTGTTTTAAACCGACCAATCACAGTAACTGCCAATGGTCAGCTGACCATTCAGGCTGGTGTTGACGTCATCCTTAATTCTACGTCAGCAGGTTTTTTCGTGCAAGGTAAGCACAGTAGCAGCCCCCACTTTTAGCTTTTTTTTCAATAAAAGGTAACCTCATCAGTATTGGTTCACGCAATTCATATTTTCAGTGTGTTGTGATCTTAAAAATACTGGTATTGAATCTAGAACGTTTCTTTTTGATGAGCTTTATTCCAATGTGTATATTGGGGAAGTCATCAAACACGCGAACAGAATTATTTATGGTTATGTTAAACTGATTTTTAAAGCCCAAAATTTGCTACTAGGGCAATCTCATAGCAATATTATTGCTGCCTCGTTGTTTTAATTATATTTTGCAATTGCAACTTACAATCTCGAAATTTCGAGTTAGTATTTCAAAGTTCAGACTAAGTAACTCCAAATTTCATGTAAGTAGGCCTCACTCGAAATTTAAATACTAGTTTTTATAAATATAGCTCGAAGTTTCAAATTAAAATTAAAAGAAAGTGATAGTGTGATAGTAATACGCTTCTATACTACATCTATATTTCGAAATTTCGAGACAGGCTCTATAAAGTCGAAATATCGGTAACCAAGTCGAAATTTCAAAACGAAACAACTAATACGATCCCGTAACTTAAGATCAAAACGCATACTGGGCTTTTTTTATCCAGGTTGTTTCAGAACAGAAGGTCTGCAGGGATTTGAAGTGAGGTTTATGAGCAGTGACAAGTCGTCTGCCCTTGGCCGACGTGGAAACTTTTGGACTGGCATAAAAATCCAGATGCAAAGTATGTCATTGAATTGATTTGACAGTATACGCAAAGTACCTTGAGTGCGTAAGCCGGAACAGTTAAGTCATTCGCGTTGTCTTGTTTGTGCAACCAGTTTTAAATCTTTTAATTAATGCTTCGCTGAACATAAAATAAGGCATGAGTAAAATCATTTGCTTTTCAGGAATTATGAAACATAAATAATTACGAGTGAAGGGGTAACCTTTTGTACTTACCCAAAAGCCAGGAAATTCTCCATTGTGGTGTTAACTGCTAGATGAATATTCCGCAAGCTAATTAATACCTCTTTATTCCAGCGTGTGAAGTAATAGACCTGAGCCACACTTTGATTCAAGGAGCAGAAATTGGACTGAACCTCCTCACAAGTGGCGCTGTCTTAAACATGGATCACGTATTTGTAAGACACTGCAGCTCAGACGGGGTAAGATTAGCGTCCGTCAATTTAACTATGAATTACTCAGAGGCGTCCAACTGCGGGGTAGATGGTGTCAAATATAATGGCAATGGTAACATATCTGTGATCGGTAGTCGTTTTACGGACAATTACAATCAAGGGTTCTACTTTTACAGAACGTCAGGCAGCACAAACAGAATTACCTTCGACAAATGCTATTTTCGTTCGACGCGTAATCGACTGTTATATCTGTACCAAATGGTTTCAACTGTTATCCAAATTGAGAACTCTACATTCATTTCTGGTTACAATAGTGGTCTGGAAATAAGTACAAGTAATGATAATAATAATGGTGCAAATATATCTGTGACAAACAGTTCGTTTAGTGGAAGGTCAAACACACTATACGTTAAAGATCGGTTCAGGTCACCCATTACTCCAAACACTTACGTAGTAGCAGGGAATGTATTTAACGGCGCTGTACACCTAGACTGGCTTAACTACCGAAATCCCAATCAAAAACTTACATTCCATAACAACACTCTAAATTCTTCAACCAACAACCCCCTGTATATCTACAGGGTCAGAGGTCAGGCAAACTTTACTTCAAATCGTTTTCTCAATAACGGATACAGGTCGCTGATTATATTGCGTGATGACGCCCCTCCTCTAACAATCCGAGACAACGTTTTTCTGCAGAATTCTGGACCTTCTGTGTTGGAGGTTTCACGAATTACTGGTGATGCATTTTTGGGAAAAATTGAAAGGAATATCTTCAGGAACAACAGTGCCACTGTTACACTGGAACTTTCGGGAAAAGCAAACGCCACGGTCAACGAGAACACCTTCGATAACTTTGCCGCCAACCGGGAGGTTCAAATAGCGAAATCGTGGAATCGAACCCAATCGATGGACATGCGGTACAATTACTGGGGAACCGCTGACCCTCACAATATCTCCTTCCGTGTGGACGACTTCTACATCAACAACCGAAAGGCAGTGGCGAAGTTGTCGCCATATCTGACTACGGACAATGCGACAAAGGCCAACGGACCATTTGGCACCATTGAAAGACAGTACAACAGTACTGAATCAGATGGTATTGGCGGTGTTCTTATTGGAGATACCAGCATCGCGCCAGTTACGCTACCAAACGGCACGGCGGTCCCTATTAATGTGAAGTACACAATCTACGTTCCACAGGGTGCCAGTCTTACAATAGATCCAGGGGTGTCTTTGAAGTTCCTGGAGAACAGAGGGATTGTGGTTGATGGCAAGTAACGTTATTCTTGATATTACACAATCAAACCTTATAATCCACATTACAAAAACATTAATACCATGTGAAATAGTGTCTTTAAAGGTGCTACATATTTCATTCGACCTGAGAGTAATTGTAATGAATCATTCTAACACTGTGCAAGTAGAGTCTCCTACATATTTTATCAAGAGAATTACAAAAAACTTAGCTTCTCAAGTTACATATATCTTACCAAAGTATATGTAAACATGTGATGGACATATTATGGCTGGTTTTAATGGTACAATGTAGATCCTGAAATGGGAATTTTGGAGTGTGGAATGTATCTGTTCATTACAGGAGTTTTAAATATTAATGGAATTGCGTCTGATATGGTGAAACTGACGCCTGTCCTCTACCAATCTCCATGGGGTGGTATCGTATTTACAGAACTCACAGGTAAGTGTTATGTAGCCGTGGCGTATAAAAATCGTCACTGTTTCAATAGGAAACTTGAAAACTAAAACATTTCAAACACTTTAAGATTCAATATGAGAGAGAGCGTACAGGTTTCTACACCATATGCAAGCCCTCTTTTAGTATGCTACCTACCCACTTCTTTAAATGCATGACAGTGCACATGTATCTCTGATACATGAACTTGTGAATGTTTATTGTCGCCCAGAACAAAACGATAACGTACATGTATAAAGTCTTAGCCCTATTCTACATGTAAATACCGTGTATCCCTATATGTTCTTCTCTAGGCCCAGAACCAATTACCACCACAACGCCGACAAAAACGACTTCAACCACAACTCATAAAACAGGCTGGAGTACTAGTACAGAAACCCCCTGCGAGGGATATCCTGAAGTACCTTGTGGGGATAACACAGACTATGCAGTGAGAAGAAAGCGGATGGCAGAGGCAAACTCAATGGGTATTCATATTTTGATATTGATACTTTGTTTCACATGACCGCTGGAAACTTTTTGAAAAAGTTGGCTACTGTCGAAAACAATCATTCTTTAATTGTAATAAGGTGAGTCTGTTTATATTGAAAATATCGATACTGATTTAACGCCAAAAGAAAAAAACATTCAGCTTATTAAACTGCCGGTGAGCTGAACACGCACTCCACGTGGTGTTTATTCAGAAATTTATTTATTTATTCACAGGGATGTCGACACTGAACTACATGAACATCAGCAGAGGAAGCACGTGCGTTGAAGTCTTGGGTGGCCGTGGGCTCGTTCTCCTTAATTCGAGGCTTGATTCCTGCACCCAGGCAGGCATATCCATCACCACCGGGTCTGCAGACCAGACCATTGTGATAAAAAACACAACACTAATGAACATGCCTAGTAGGAAAGGAATGGTTATTGGCGCCAATAGTGACTCAGGAGCTACGATTTTGGACGTTCAAGGGTCCAAATTTCTCTCGAATAGTTTTATATCTATTAGCTGTTCTGAATGCCACATTTCGTTCGAAAATTCGACCTTCTTCGGAAATACAATTCTTCTTTTGCTCACCCAAATATATTCTTCGAGTCGTAAAGATCTGGTGAGTTTTCTGTGCGCTTGCAATTTGGTAAGACTTTAAATGCTGAGATCATTGTCTGGAAATTAATGAAGAGGTTATCGACAGTCAACTATGTACAAACTGTACAAGTACCGATATTTAATAGCTTTTTCAAATGAATTCAAAAAGCATATATTTGATCAAGATAAAGATTCGATGAAAGTTGTATTGCAAATACTTTAAACATCCGCACATAGATATTCCCAGACTATGCATTGCCTCATGAAAACAACTGCTTACTTTCAGGAATACCGTTTCGTTGGAAACCACTTTGAAACCACGGCATGGAGCACTAGCCACATAATGCACATCAATGTTGAGCGAGCCACAGACAACTCCCAAGTTAAGTTCATCAACAACACTGTGATTTCTAATAATAGATACAACACCATTTATTTTGAGAAAGAGCGCTACACAGACCCTTTTTATAACATAAGCGGTAACTATTTTACTTCACCAAGAGGCGTTTCCATGAGGTTTTACTTAGAAGGACTTACCAATGGGTCGGTCAAAGGTAATTACTTCAACAATACAGCAGGAGCCATTCAGTTTCAAGGATCATGCTGCTATTCTTCTCCAAAGTTGTTCGAAATAACTGAAAACGTCTTTGCAGATACAACAAACGGAGGAACGCTTATTGACCTGAACACTTATTTTGTGAGAAATAGGGAAGTTGTCGTGAAAGAGAACACCTTCGTGAACAACACAGTCAGTCAGTACATTATAACCATGCGGTCAATAGATGCAAATATTACCGGCAACTTCTTTGACAATCCAGGTTCTACTTACGATTTAGGCGTCACATTTAGCTATAACGAAAACGATGCTGCCAATGCCAAAAACAATTGGTGGGGAGGACCAGGTTTCTCTCATGTAATTGGGAGAATTTTTGATTATGAGGACAATCCTAGTAGAGGGAGAGTCGAATTTCAACCGTATCTCAACGCTCGCAATTTGTCGGCTTTGAGCGATTTAGAACCACCTTTTGTCATAGGACCTGGTCGCATAGGTGGTACTGTAAAGGGAGAGGAGATTCTAACAGCCGCTGATAGTCCATACGAGGTGGTGCGTGACATACTAGTACCCGAAACGTCCACTCTCACAATTGAGCCTGGGGCCAGTATTTTGTTTCATCCGGGCATTGGAATGGATGTAAAAGGTAAGTGGTTCTTTTTTTTTTTGTTATTTCTTTTTCTTTTCTTTTTCTTAAATTATGTTTCACGTACGTATTAGTATAAATTCTATTGGACTTTGGACGATTTGAAATTCTGTATCTGGTTCATTTAATGTCAGAAATATTTAATGTAGGACCTACACATTTTTTTTATATTTAGGAGAACTTATGTCCACTGGTGCCCCAGATAATCCTGTGAAGATGACCGGCCTAGGTGGTGGTAGTTGGAAAGGAATAACTTTTGAACAGTACCTGCCAGGTAATTAAGGAGTCGGGCGATGGTGTGCATATACAGACTTGACATTTAATATGGAATATTTTTTTCCAAATCATTTTTCATCAGTTTTTTCCTATTTTGCTGACTGATAAATGAAAATAGGGATTAAATCGTGTTTTAATAACTTTTAATTATCTCTTTGATGTCATTGTGACATCAGTTCATTAATGGAATTCGCCAGAGAAGCTAACAAAAACACATTGCCTATTCTGTCATCCGACAACAATTAAAAGAGATATTTTGGATCTCCATATTTTCCAAATTATTTTCTGTAAAAGAGATACACGCCTCACAAAGAAACCACATGTCAGTGTCTAGTCACAGTAACGGTCTCTGTTACGCTTGACCTCTTCTGTTTGCTACCAGCGCTCTCAAGTGGCAAGGCATTCCTTGGGTTAGGTTTTTAGAGTTCAATCTGGAATAACATTCCAGGCATTGGTTAAAATCTCCCCAATTTGGCCCAGTTTTGTTGTAGGACATGTAGGCCATTGATTCGGCGAGTAATGGCCTACCCACATATTGTCTATGTGGTTCAAATATGGCGATTTTGATTACCGAGGTAGCTGTTCATTCCCTTGGTTCTGTAAGTAATTTGCTATTAAAAGTGCTATGTGTGTACCGGGAATTTCACCGTGCAACCTAAAATTGTTCCTAAGGTGCCCCCTATCAAATGATAGTCAAATGGTTCTCAGGTTATTCCTTTATTTGATCTGGTTCAGGTTTTCGTGGATGACCATCATTGGTGTTTTGGTATCCACTGTGGTATCCGCTCCAATTACTGACGCTGTTAATGACCGTAGTCACTTTAGACGTGGCACACGCTTAAGTCGTTGGCCTCTTCTGGATGTCTGTAAGCTCTGTTTTGACTGGTTGAGCAGTACAGTTGAAAGCTGACCTCAATAAAGAAAGTCACGAGGTTTCAGTATTCAACTCAGAAACGATCCGGGTCCCCAATTCATTAGAGAAACATACAACAATGTTTTGCTGTTAACAGTGGGTTCCCCTGAGGTCGTCTGGTATTCTAACCAGCTAAAACCAGTTTGGTGTTCGCTAAGGGCCTTGAAAAATGCGTTTTGGTGGCAATTTACCCCTCATTCTGAGGGGTGGTTTTTGTTTAGTTGCAATAGCATATCCCGACAGACAGTGGGTCCTGTACCCTGGTGGTAAGATTTCAATACATTGGTTGTGGCCTCTGTGTAGGTATGGGTATTACTCTATAAAACTGTGCGGACCGTTTCGTTTGGCGCAATTATCTGTCTGGCAATGTCTGTCTTTTTCGCGCCATTCTGCCACAGATTAACAAATAAGCAGAGCACTGCATAGCTCATTTTACACCTTGCAAAACCAACCACTTGCATGCAAAATTTCAAATTCTTCTATGCAGTAATTGCCGACATATGGATACTTTTTTGACAGAACCATGCTTTGCCATAGCCAAGCTTTGACCTGCCCAAAGGAGCACTACCCAGTTAAATCACTGCATATTACATAATGCAGCAGCGCAACAAACCTGGTATTCAGTTAATTGGAAGCGACACACCTGACTACACACTTCCCCATTCACATATCTTATATGAGATCGGAGTTTTTTGAAAAAAGAATGCATTTTTACCTAGGCATACCTTCGAAACTGAAATATTCCATATTAAATGTCAAGTCTGTATTTGTCTCAAATGATGGGGAGAAATTTGATGAGGCTTATATTTATTAAAATTGAAAAGAAAAAACTAATAAAAACGTCTGTATATGCAGTAAAACATTCCCTTTTTGATATATAATTGAAGATCCTTACCTCCGTGCCGCCAATGGCAGTGGTCCACACGAGGGGCGACTAGAGGTGTTCTTCAACAATACATGGCAACTAGTCTGTGGCACGTACGGCTGGGATATGAGGGCAGCACAGGTGGCGTGCAGGCAGCTGGGATACGGAGAGGCATTGGAGTTCTTCAGAACTGAAACTGTGTCTAGGTGGGTTTCATACCTCCTCGATCGTTTCTCATTTATTTAAAAGTGATTTTAATTTTTGATGTTTGATTTTGAATATATAGTACAAATGTTTAGGGAAAAAGTTTGGTGCACAAGCGCTCTTTGTCTCGCTGTTGATAATTTATATTTTGAAGGGAATTAGGCGTTAGTTTGATTATTGTAGTGACGAGTTTACTGTGGTTGCTATCCAAATAAACAGAAAAAAATATAAATGGGCAATATGCCTTTGAAATTACTTAGACAGTCAATCAGTGCTGATGGAGTATATTGCTGACACAACACCATGCGATGTACCTACAGGCAATGAAAGATGACGTGTAATTGACATGTTTAAGTGTTTCACCCTAGGTTCACGCGAGGAAAATTGCGAGAGTACCACATGACAAGTATGAACTGCAATGGGGACGAACACTTTTTACAAGAGTGCAGCATCGCAGTGAATATTCGATATTGCAGTGACAGTAATCTTGCTAGCGTCGTCTGCAATCAGAGTGCAACTATACGTAAGTGAGAAGACGCAGCTCAAAGAAGGGACATGAAATCAAATAGGAGTAACATGGTTTAACTGAATGGGCTTGTTCATTGTAAGACCATATTGCAAAATTATTCTCTCTTCTCCATAACCCATTCTTTCCATATTTTCTAGTTCGTGTTGTTAAGTTATTAGTATCAATTTACCTTTTCAACAAGATGAGTGAAGCAAATCAACAAGGGACAAGCTATCCTGAGATATATAAAATAAGGTTTAGGGTGTCATTAAGACAGATATCGATTTTAGCTATAGTACACTGGAGCTCCGGATGAAAATGGCATTTTTTTATCAATTTCACTGTCACAGAACTATTTTATATGGCTTAAGTAATGACTTCGTAACAGTTTCCAAGCTACGGAAGTGAAATAGTTTTTAAACAAAAACCAATAGATAATTAGAGTTTCACTCCTTTTGCAACATATCTGCATGAGCAGGATGATCGGTTATCACATTCACATTGGTTTTGCTGTCACTATGCTTTTGCAAATCGAATTCTGTGCAGCGAATTTTAAGGGTGATTATGCCTCTTAATATGAGCCAAGGAAAGCGGTTTGCATGAATTATTTTCAAGTTTGGTCTTATTTAGGGTCATATGATGTGAAGGAAGGGGGTGTAACGTATTGCAGTTGCGTCCCTAGAGGATTTTGATATTGGGGATTTTTATAAAGTACCCCTAGAGACCTTCCATGTGCTTTAACAGACATCCCTCAGTAATTTTTATTAGCCCTGTTTTCATATTATAGATAATATGTTAGAACACCCCACCACTTTAGCAAGAAGTATAAACCGTTTTGCTTTGCTTTATTTATTTATTGATTTGATTTACATTTTTAGCGACCAACAGATCCTCCCTGGTCCATACAGTCGTGTCTAACACAACCAGAGGCGTGTCGGTCCGGGGCTCACCTCCTGTCTTCAAAGGCATTGAAATCACCTACAGCTCACAGAACGGCCTCACATTCTCAGGTTACATACCAGAAGAGACTGCCGTTTCCGATTGTATCATCGCTAACAGTGGAGCAGATGGCGTGTCTTTCACTGGCGTTAGCGACTCGAGGCAAAACCATGGCATTTCCATTAGAAACTGTACGATTTCCAACAATGCCAAGCGTGGTTCATACATTTACCGCACAGACATCGCTTTGTCCAACAGTAGCATACACGATAACGGCGAACAAGGTGTCTATGAACGACGGGTTCTGAACACGGAAATTCAAAATGTGGATTTCGTGCGTAACAAACAGGGTGCTGTTTACCTTACAGATACCAGCGATTTGGGGACTTTGATCGTACATGATAGTAGTTTCAAAAACAATTCAGGTTCTGTCCTGTATATTGAAATACCGAGCAATTCTCGGCCAAATGTTTCAATCGCAAGAAATGTTTTCACTTGGAACGATGGTCAACCAAGAGGACTAAGCTATTATGGCACTTACGGCGTCATTGATTTGAGATTTTATTTCTACACACAGAATATCACTGGGTCCTACTCCGTAAGTTTTTATTTTTCTCAGGTTTCTACTTCAACAAAGTAAATGTTCGAATTTGCAAACCAACAAACCGATCAAACATGTAATGTTGCAGGGTCACCTGTCCTTCCTCGTGCGTCCTGACATCTAAATCTGACTTTATAATTGACTTCATACATTCTAATCTTAATATCCCACACAGAGAGAAAGAGAGAGAGTACAGAGAGTACATACAGTTTTAAATTGCAATTTGCATACTTTTACCTGTGTGTTTCTTGTTCACGGAATTTTTGTTCACGTTATTTCCAGATCATGAAGAATTCGATGGAAAACAACTTAGCTGAATTCGTTGTTCGCCTATGGAGCAATGCAAGAGACAACTATGGTGTGGGTGAAGATATCTCCATAATTGACAACATATTTAAGAACACGTCCCGTCGCATCTATTACAGAGAAGTCAACAGCGTCACATTGGAAAATGTGTACAATGTCAGCATTAACAGAAACGTGTTTTCAAATCCGTTAGCTACACGCGAGTTTGTTGCACCAAAATATAAGCCCACGGAATACATCGACGTTTCAGAAAATTGTTGGGACGTCTCAGAGGCTGTTGATGTCTATAAAAGGTACACTGCAGCAGTAATTTGTAATCAGGCTTTCATTTTTTTAGGTTTCAAATTAGTTACCTGGCGTGAATATCTATAGAATTTCTACACGCAGAACAACTGGACTTATAATATACCTGGTGCCAATCGTGTTTTATGATTGAAAATTATACCTCGTCGTCCTCAAAGAATTTGAAAAATGCTTATGTCATCACCCGTTGAATTTCAGAGTATTGAGTATTTATGAAGATACCACACGGGCTGACGTTCAGCTGTGGCCAATGTTTTTAAATGGTACTTGTGGAGACGTAGCCCCAACACAGAGACCGGTGAGGTGGGGATTCAGCAACATACAGGATTCTGGCGGAGAGGTCGATTCATTAATCGATTTAGGTACAGTACAAGGTACCGTCATTCTTGGACGAAGCGTAGTGATCAGGTAAGGTATAACGTTCTGTTTTTAATTTATATACCTTCGTTTTGGTTGGTTGTATTATTCATGTCGGTAAACGTGCACTTTTACAATGACTATGACTTAACAATAATCTAAAATATTCTACAGTGAAAGAGATGCAGAAACAGTTTTATAACTTCGTATAAACAAAAACTCATTTTCAGTAAATATTACATAAAAATATGTCAATTTCATTGACAAATTAATAAATAAATTAATGAAAATAGGTATAATGAAATACACAGCCTTTGAGTTTAGAATTACATTGTTAAATCTTTTTCATGCAATAAAAAGGCATAACGTTTCCTATTCAATATGTAATCTTAAATAAAATCAACATTGTCCTATAACGACCAACATAACCTACTTTTTATGTAGACCAAAAGGTGTACTGTCTGCGACGATCGGATCAAACTTAACCTTACGTTTTAAAGCTGGGCGAGGCTTAATTATAGCAGGTAGGATTTACATATATGTTTCTTTTCATCTGGATGAATAAAATAATGATCAGATGAGTCGGTTTTTCTTTTCCCTTGATATTGGGGAACTCTGATTATTGTTTCTTCAATTAGTTTATAAAATACCTGAAAATGTAGTATCATAGATTTCAACTTTTACTTACAATTTGCATCTTTTGTCATGCGCTGTGCCTGAAATGAAATTGCTTTCGACTATTCTGTTTCTTTTTGCAGGGCAAATGCTTCTCGACAATCCTCGAGGTTCACCAGTGGTATTTACCTCTGACAGCCCTACGTCCAGCTCTAGTGGACGATGGAACGGAATTATTTTCGAGCCAAAAGACGGTATGTCAGGGGAAAGTCGAATTATCTTTAAAAGTGACTTGCATGACAGTTTATGTAGTGCAAAATTGGCAGTCAATTTGGTTTTATTAACACCAGAAACTCGTACACACACACACACACGATCAACTACAAAACCAGTCTGCCTGAAGAAGATCTTGCGATAAGGTCGAAACGTCGTGATCTTCAATTCAACGTAAGGTGATTGTATTAGATTATATTTCCTTATTTAATCACAGTATAATATACTTGGATGAATGAAAATATTCACTTTCATAGAAGTGAAAATGCTCGTGTGTATGTGTATGTGTGTATCACCTTTGTCTTGGCATTGTCACTGATTTGTGCCTACCCCAGAGTAAAAGGTGTATTAGTGTGCTCATATGTGTGGAGTTTCATGTCAGATGGACATATGAAGATCTGAAAATTCGTCAAAATATTGAAAAAAAGATACAGCTTTGCACAGCAGTCGGAGATCGGTACGGTTCAGTTGTTAGTTACGAACTACTTCCTGGTTTTCACAAGGTCCTTCAAGACCTCTATAACATCGTTATAATTGCAGCCCATATTATAAAACACCCAAAAATAATTAGATATGGACATATCAGATTATATTAATGCCAAATTTCCACATGACAAAGATTTATAAACTCCCGGGAATTATTTTCCTTTTACGCTCTTTGTCGCGCTGGCGGTCGATGCAGCATGTATTTCAAAACAAGTTGACCGCAAATTAAGCACGATTTTGCACCTTCAAGTTCCGTGTCACGTTTTCATATCATGCATCTATTATTTCTATAAGTATTCTCTGCCCAAAATGCGTAAAAAAAGAGAGTTATCTTACCATGTTGGTTGGAAAACTTCTTTTTCCTCTGACTACACGTCTTCTCTCCCGTTCACCTTCAGGTTAATATGACCACTCAGCTTCGCTTCTAACACCACTACACGTCACTTCCGGGCACAATCAGTCTTCTCCGGTTCCCTTTATTTTTATGTCTATTTTTTAAGTTCCGACCAAACGCAGTTCAATTCCACTGCTGTCATATCAATTAGATCTCTAATCAGGCACACACATTTTTAAACCAATAAATCTTTTATCCATTTTAGGCCAACACAGCCTTTCCTTTGTCACAATATCACGGGCAACGACATGCTTGACTATCAGAAGAGCCAACTTTACTGTGGGTTCTGTTGTTGTTACGGACTGTTCTGGAGTTGGCATCTCCTCTGCCTTGAATGACCGTGCATCCTTCGTCAAGATTTTCAATTCAACTGTAAACGCCGCTAGGTCTCAGGGTATTCGGATGACTGGGCAGGGCGATCTTAACCTGGACAATGTACTGGTGAAAGATACTGGCAGCCATGCGATTGAATACAGTGCAGCAGGTGACCTAATTGTGACCAACTCTGTAGTCAATAAGAGCAGTTCTTATGGTATCATCAGGTCCTCTCGTAACGGCGGCGTTCAAATAATGAACAGCCAAATCACGGAAATCAGAAGGTCTGGGATACAGCTTAGTGCTTACATGGATTATATAAATATCGAGGGAAATTATATCGCACGCACCAGTAGCTACTACTCAAACGATTGGGCGTTAGCTTTGTACAGTATTTCATACCCGGTTACTGTGAAGAACAATACAATAGAAAGTAATACAGGTGGGGGGATGGTTGTAAGCTTTAGTTCCTATTCGCATATCTCCAGTACTATAATATCTGACAATATTTTTAGAGATAATAGAAAAGGGGGCCTGTGGTTGCAAGATGTTTGTCAAAGGGATGTCTTAGTAAGTAACAATCGCTTTGAAAACCACGATCTTCTTTCCGAAACCGTGCTGAAAATTACCGCTTATCAATACGCTTACCGAGAAAAGAATATTACACTTCGAGGAAACGAACTGATTGACAATTCTGGGCAATTCATACTCCAAATACGGAGCCAACTTGCCAGTAAATGCACCTGCCTCATTGAGGGTAACTTTCTCAAGGACAACCGTGTATCGGAATCCATCGTCGTCACGGAAACCGGAAAGCCCCTGATCAATTACAACATTTTTTCAAACCCACTAGCAGCCTATGATCTGCGAGCATTTTATACGGACGATGAAATTTTAGATGCTAGGCACAACTGGTGGGGCAGCAGCGACCATAACCAAGTAAAATCCCGAATACAGGACCGGGAGGTCAATGCCAATTATGGAAACGTAAGCTACGTGCCGTTCTTGCTGTCGCCAGAGTTTTCTTGCAACAACGTCAACAACTGCTCGGGCAATGGGGTTTGCATTCGACCTGATACCTGTGAGTGTAATATTGGCCGGAAGGGGGCGGATTGTTCGCAAGCATCCTGTGCCCAGGTGTTTGAATGCCAAGGCCGCGGAACGTGTGTTGGACCAAATACATGCCAGTGTGATAGTGGCTGGATGCCCCCGGACTGCGTGAGAGCCACCTGTGAGGGGAGAAATAATTGTTCTAACCATGGTTTATGTATAGAACCAAACAGGTAATTGTTAAGTTCAAATAAAAGGCCCACCTATGTGTTTATAACGCTCAACGAGTTCTATTTAAAATCAACGATAACTACTGCACTAGAACTTACGTTGTGTGCATGTACATCGTGATCCATCATTGCATTATCTCTCCGAGTAAAAACAAAACTTCTAGCCTACCACCAAAAGACATTTCTTGTGAATTCTCACCTTTGTTTATACATAGTTTATGATATGAAACTTGTTTTTATGCATTTTAGATTAATTTTTCCACATGTGAAGGTATACATTTTATTCCGGAGTTATTTTTGAAGGTGCCGATGTTTCACGCGTTACCAGGGAGTGAATTGCTCGGAATGTTCCGGGAATCACTGGGGTCCTGAATGCCGTCCATGTCAACCGTGTGTGCATGGGTCGTGTGATCAACAGACAGGTTTGTCATGATGTTTTATTGATGGTTATATTTCCTTGCGTATTTATGTAAAGATGTTGTAGTCCATGACTGCTTCATTAACCATAACTTCATTTTTAAAGCATATTTAAACATTCGACTTTTCGGTTGCATTAAAACGCATATAATTAAGTTACAAAAGTAAGTTCACACATCACACTATATGACAAACATATGGTACATGTGCATGTAGGAGTAAGGTGCGTTTTTTAGGATCGTGTGTATGCAGCGGCCCTAATTGGACTGGAGATCAGTGTAACCGCTGTAGTCCAAAGTTCTATGGTCCAGCCTGCTTGTCTTTGATGCGTGTTTTGTCAGTGGCTCCTGACGGAGGACCAGATATAGGGGGCACTGTAGTCCGCGTGACAGGACACAACTTCCCTAACTCCACTGAATATTCGTGCAGGTAAGGCAAGGACTAATATCTAGAAAGTGTTATATATTCATAATTGATCAATGAGAAAAGTTTTGGTCATTTGCCATACAGATGGTGGCCAATTCAGTACATAAGAAAAGGGGGATTAAATGTTACTTTTCGTCGCAAATTACTAAAAACCGATTTAATTTGGCTCATCTTAACATTAATGAAAGATATACTCCTTTTGAGTCTAGAGAGATATTTCTTTGTTTTCCTTGACTGTCCCATCATATTCAAGTATTTCCAAGATAATTAAACTACATTATGTATCGCGATTTCGGTTTCTTATCTAATTCAATCTGTCGATGGAATACTTGACATATACAAGCACGCATTTATGGCACAACAGATTCATATTATGATATTCGTATTTACGTACTAGGTTTGGTAGCGTAGAAACTCCAGGCACATGGATATCCACAGAGCAGGTGACCTGCAAGGCACCTAAGCAAAACCCCAACACTGTAAGAATTGCTATCCGGTCACAAAACGATGGAAGCTTCAGCACTGAACTGGTAAGTTCCTAAAGGAACGTAAGTTTGGGATCCTTTTTGAGTCAAAGATTGTATAAAGTAAGTCTATCCAGAAGATTTTCACATATAGTAGATTGCGTCTGTAGAAATACTCCTGAATGTACACAAGTGAAGAAAGCGCTTCGGTTCTCAATAAATGGCAACGCCGTGCAGCATTACTCGAACCTCAATATTTAAATTTTATAATGTAGTAAATCGAATTAAGCCTACTTTAATGGTTCTACTATTTGAATCGCACAGGTCTTTTTTACCTACTACGGCATATGCCCGGCTTCAGCGTGCGGTCGCCTGTATCAGCCGCCTAGAGGTATATGCTCGTTTGGGGAGTGCCTGTGCTCAAAGCCGTGGTCCGGTGATAATTGCACTGTCCTGAGACTTGCCCCCAAGATCGCAAATATTCCAAACCTGGTGGTTACTGAAGGAGAGAGTGTAAAAATCCCGTTATCATTAACCGAGGTAGATTTTTTTTACAACGTGGCCATGGAATGTTCAAGATTGAGATAATAAGAAGCATTTTACAAGCGTTTCCATTATCTTATTATTGATTTAAAATTAAAAAAAAAAAACGTATGTTATAACGCAATTGTGAGAGAATTGAGCTAAATGGTTCAGTCATAAAAGGTATAACTGGGTAAATTTAGCATGAGAAATTCGCACAAACCAAACATTTTTACTTATATATTCTTGAAATATCATTTAAAGTGGCATTTGAATATGATAAAAAAAATAGCCAGTTCAATTACCCCTTATACATGTACATGTTACGATAGGGTTCGACACCAGTTGAATGGAGACTTTTAGGATCCCCCAGCGGCATGGCTTTGGACTCTGGCTCCCAAATCATCCGCTGGGATTCAGCCGTGGCATCACCTGCGCCGTACACCGTCGGAGTATCAGCCCAAAATGACATAGGCTCTGACAGGAGACAGTTTAACCTGACTGTGAGAAGATCTTACGAGGCAGAGCTAGATCCGGTTAATTACGGCCCATTCATCAGTGCTACACCAACTCTACTGACTGGAAGAGTGAATTTCATTGAAAGCTCACCATTTCGCAATAGCCCGGTGCCTGTGAAAGTAGTGTAAGTGTTTTAAACTCCGGCGCACAGGTTGAGAAACAGACTGAACTCCTGATAGTTCAGTTCTTTAATTGATGTCGCCAATAATGAATTAATTGCCTTTTTGGTTTTTGTGAATTGAACCATGCACAGATAATTATACACGACAGTTTCTGAACTCTCATCCACCTTGTGCGCTGGACATATTGTTACACCTTTTTTTTTTTTTTTTTTTTTTTTGTTCAACCCGTAAGATATCTGTTCATTTCCATGCCAATATATTGCAGTCCAGTTTAGGCAATACGCAAAAATTATGTAAACTTACTTTTATGATGGAATTTTACTTTCATTTCATTAAGTGATTTATTTTTAGGGTTGTATCACAGACCTCGGGTTCTAGACGAGTACTGAGTGCGACCACCTTCGCTCACAGCAATACTTTCTTTGTCCGATTTTATCCATCTTCATCCGAGGCAGGCATCTACGTTGCTGTGAGTATTTGTAACTGATTATATTTTTATTAATTGTTGGTTTAATTCAGTATAAAAGAATTAAGCTGTGACAATTTTCCCAAGTTTAGATTGTTTAAAACTATAGGATAAGGAAGGATATCTTGAACAGACAATGTAACAACGCCCCTCTTTATTTCCCCTGCATTTTTGGGGGCGTATTTCACTATTTTCTTTTTTTTTTTTTACTGTTTAATGTGTGCATAATATATGAGATTCCGTTGACGATAAATATATCCAAAACTATGCTAAGCATACCGTTTGTTTAACCTAATGAAGGGTGCATCCCATCCAAAAGATCCACAAGACTACAATCAGACCAGATGGTCATTCCTTGGGATGACTGTATCGCCAAGATACCTGCGTGTCGGTGGGTATCTGGGATTTTATTCCTACAACGAGAGTATGAAGGTGACGAATCACGGAGGTGATCGGCTGCACAACGTTACAGTTCAGGTGAGGAACAAATTACTTTACCAGCTAATAAAGAGTCTTTTCGTCGCTGTTTTTGTGTTTGGTTCAAGTGTTCTAAACTGTAAATATAGCTGCAGTGTGTATAAATATTCAATAAAAATGAGATAAAAACTGGCATAAACCCCTTCTTCCAACGGGCTTGCCACTGCTTGGAAAATGAATTTTGACCAAAGTTCGTTCTCCGAGCGATGGCAAGCCCGGAGTTACAGCTTAGAGCTTAAAATAAAACTACTAGTAAAGGGGGCTTACAACACGTTCCCTTTTGGGAAGACCTGCAGGACTAACCCGTGAGAAGTCGGTTCCATATTGTACACCCTTTCTGTCGTCGCATACACCACTTAAACTTAAACAGGCAGGTAAATTAATTTTGCTTTAATTGATATTTAATTTCATTACTTAATTATTCATGATTATTACGTTAAAAAGTGTAAAGACACAAAGTTTGGTTCGTGTCGGTCTTAAAACAGCTATGTGCATGGTGTCAGAGCGTCATGAAGGAGATATTTGAACAAATTTGGTTATTTCAGATTCCTGAATTTGTCACCGGAATCGTGACTTTGAAACCAACCGGTGAAGGAGTCTGCACGTCCTTCCCATGCTCCCTCAAACGAGTGTTTCAACCGGGAGAAGAAATCAGTCTTGATTTGGATTTTTCTGGTAAGATAATGCTTGCAGATTTTTTTCTTATCATTTTTTGGCAAAATGAAAAAGTAAATAGAAAATAAGCAAACAAAACCGATAGATGCGTAATTTTAAAGGGAAATAACTCTTCGTTTCGTCCAAAAAATGAATTTTCCTGGAGTAAACAACAATTTTCCCATAATTACCAATGGTTAATGAGTCCATTTTTACATTCAAAGTTAGTCCCTGTTTTTTTCTTAAAAGTTTGGTTTTTTGTTAAAATCTCTTAAGAGATTTTAACAGAGTATAGCCATCAATGGAGGTCACGTGTTCTAAAGACAAGCTCAGATATCAGAATAATAGCTATAACTGCCGTTTTTCTGGTAAAACAGAATATATTATATTTCTATGAGTTGTTCACAATGTTTTTATTATGAAATATAGATCTCATACCAAGAGTTATTATCCCTTTAAGTGAAATATTGGATAGATAAATTTATTTAAAAACAGCTGCAATTCTTCCTCTTAATGTCATTCACTCTAAACGAAAAATCAACCAGAACTAGAATGAAGTCGACATTCCCTTACAGTGACCCAGTCGGCGAGTGGGTACTTTGAGGTGGCATTCGTGAGTGGAGAACAGGTGTATGCTTCTGGTCAGGTTAACTACAACTTTCAACCAAAAATGCCAACATTGACTTTGACTCCAAGTTCCATTAGGACATCGATATCCAGGGGAAAAACTCGACTTTTTGAGGTAAGTTGGTCGACGTTCTCCCCTTATTGCCATCCCTACCACTGAACACGGCGCGCGCTTAATTCAAATCACACCGACAATGTTTTCGGTTTTATTAGGACGGCCGTATAGCAGAAGACGGTCGTGTCGATACGGGGCCATCAGTGAGTGAAGAAACACGATATTAGCCTTTGATAATAATAATAATAATAATAATAATAATAATAATAATAAAAACCTCAGTGCGCCATACAATTAAAGAACTAAATATTACAATTAAGAACGATTTTAAAATGACAAACTTGAGAGCTAAAATGGCTAATTTAAAGTTAATTATAAAGATAACAGATAGTTTGTTAAAATTCTAAAAGTTGGAGTCTAAGACTTTATGATGATGATCTAGAATTATCAAGAGGACAAAAGATCTAAAAGAATAAAAACTTGGCTTGATCAATTACTATAAACTGTTTAGGCAGAGTGAATGACGCACAATTTTTCAGAATTCTGATTGTCACAAATTACTGCAATCCTCCCTTCCTTATAAAAAATTTGGTAACCTGATCTTTATGTGTTGTAGAATATATGGCATACTTTATTTCTTTAGTAAAGTTGGGAGTAGAACATTTTGGACATTTATTTAGGTGAACGTCACTAACAGTGGCCTTGCCACCGCACACAACATCTACGTAGATCTGGGATCAGTGGACATTCTATCCGTGGCTTCCTTCAGCAAGAAGGGTGATCCGTCTACCGAGGATATTAAGTTCCATCTGGATCAGGGGGAATCAGCAACTCTAGTTCTTTCTGCTCTGATTCAACAAGACGCATCGCTGGGGCAAACAGTCGGGAATATCCTTGTACGATCTGACGAAGTCGGCTCGAGCATTAACTTCAGGTGAGTAAAAACTTACCCAATCGGTCCATTTTGGAGGTGATGCAGGTAGGGCTGCTGCCATGTTGTTATACGTTGACGTAGCTTGCAATGAAAAAGTTCTGAAGTCCTTGGCTGACGTCTCTCTGGCAGCATACATGCTATTCTGTATACACTGTACCAGATAAGGTCTGGTTGCTCTGTTTTTTTGTTGTTTTTTTAAGTAAGTTTTTGCCTATATCTATGTGAAATTGGATTTGGAAGCCCTGGACACAACCTAAAACCGCCTTGATGTGTTTTCAGAATCACGACTACCTCAACTCGCCTTGTGGACATCTACGTTCTTGTAGAAGACGAATACACGTATTTTGGCACAAATAGATCCTATCTAGCCAATGCAACTGTCCACCTTAGAAACAAACTAGAAAATATACGTTTAACAGCTAAATCTAATGCATCAGGTGAGTATCATAAATGGGTCCGTGTTGTTTCATTTTAATCAATTTATTTAAACCAACATTCTTTGAAAGCAGTGAATGCAAATATAATTTAATAGACCAAAGCTGCTGTAGTCCTCATCATAAATATATTTCCATAGTAATTTAAAGGTTCGTCAGTGTCAGGGTCACAAAATAATAATAATAATTTCTACGATTTTCAGGGATAGCCGTTTTCAAAGATGTAGCAGAGTCTTTCTATGATGTATATGCCGAGGCAGAGAAACACACCCCATTGTCCAAAGTTATTGCGGCAAATGAAGACCAAAATTTAGTTCGAATGTTTCTGGAGAGAACTGGTGTCACATACAAGTAAGACTAAGTGGATATCAATATGCGTATTGCATACGTATCGATATCAAATGATTTTCGGGAATCATAACCATAATAAATAACACTCAATTTTTCTTTAAATCTCAATTAGAAGAGAGCACATAATTTTGTATGTCATTGAATTCCTTATTTTTTACTATTTATACCTATTGTCTACAAAAAATTGATTGTTTCACTAATAATACTTGTATACAAACTGACCTCCTGAAAACATTATTTACCACAGTTGGAGAGTAGAACCAGTGACGTTTGAGGACAGATACGTCATCACTTTAGAGGCAGATTTTGAAACTCAGGTTCCAATGCCAGTTGTCACCATAGACCCAAAGGAACTGGATCTGGACGTATTAGAACGTTGTGCATACGGCAACAGCATAACGTTTACTGTAACCAACCACGGTCTCATACGAGCAGACGATTTCCAGTTCACTTTGCCAGATGCAAACGCACACCCTTTCTTGAGATTCGCAATGGTAATATTCTTGTTTATAAGTATCTAATAAGTCTTGCAGTGTTTTGTGAGCAATACATCTAATGAAAGAATAAGAGAGAGTCATAACAATATATCACATTAGATTGCGCTTTGCAAAACACAAAAACACACTTTTTTGGGATTGTTGGCAAGACCAGCGTTTAAACGAAAATCTGTTACCAGCTTTTGTCATACCAGGCTTCATGTTTGCATGGTGAGGTATGTGGCACAGAAGATCCATTTTTTATGCAAGCCAAGTTTAGCATAAATGTGCATTCTCGTTTATCGATTAGTGTAGGTCCCTTTATAGTTTTATAGTTTCACGTCCAATGACAAAAACAGAACGTCTGTTAGTGTCTAATGTGTGAAAATTGTTTTATTTTCTACCAGTCTCAGACAAGTCAATATATCTACATGACTGCTCTTCAAATGAAAACATTTTTCAGGCACAGGACGGTCCTATCGGCGGCATTCCTGCCAATACGTCCGTTCAGTTTTCTGTACTGGTATATGGGTGTGGGGCGCAGGCCGATGAAGCCACTGGTCTTGTCCCTGTCGTTGTTCGGCAAAGAAGGGCATTTGGAGGCACTGTGTAAGTTAACTGCATACGCATGCATACGCTTCTTAGTGACGGTGGAGATGGATATAAAGATCAGTGGGGCCCTAGCAAGGACGTTTGCTGTCAATGATGCAGTTTAGCTAGTAAAGACATAATCATTATCTGCTGGGTATGTTAACTGTAAAATACAGTGTGTGTGTGTGTGTGTGTGTGTATGTGTGTGTCTGTGTGTGTGTGAATTGTAATCATCTTAGCTGTATATCTATACATACATTTTCATTCTCTCACTGCAGGTGTAGCAGCGGTTTCTCTTTCACTGGTTCATACTCGTACATTTGTGACACCAAAAGAACAAGGAGTTTTTCAGTGCCTGCCCGACCAAGGACTGCAAGACCAGCTTGTATCTCGATAATAATTAATCCTCCTCGCGGAGTTGGAGGACCAGGTGGAGGGCCAATTGGCGGCTGCTGTGCTGGTGAATACATTTAGTTTTGTTCTCTCTCAATCTCTTTCTCATTCATTTGATAAAAACACAAATAGATATAGCTACATGTTTGTGCACAACTTTTGGCTTGCACAAATTTTGGTTTACACAATACTTGGTTTACACGTCTTTTGGCTTGACTCTTTGCAACCACACAAATTGAAATGTGTGCATTATTTGTTTGGAAATAATTCATAAACTGTATAAGACTTGTAGATTTTTCAGGCGTAAGCATTACGTAAATATAGGATATCAATATTCAACATAATTAAATGTTTATATCACTAAAAAGTTTCACTTTTTTATCACAAGGGCCTTCAATAAGTGCGGCCGTCATCGGCCAAATTTCGAACATCATACTTGAGTTTGTCCTAGTCTTTTAATTGGTATGTCATATTATTTAAGTCGATTTTGATCAAGGAGACATAAATGTTTATATTGTTAGAATACGAGTGGTAACATATTGGCCCACATATTTTCACTCAAGGGTCCACTCTTCTGTGTAACTATACGACGCTATATGCACTGTATCACGTTAAGTCTACATACATGTATTTTGTTATTAATTTCAGTGCTGCACATTCGATTCCGTTCTATTGTATCCATATTCTAGGTTCTTCCAGTCTTACCGTCACTGTCACTCAGGACGTGTCTTGTGAAAAATGCGTACTGAACGTTGTCGACTGTATACTTGGAAACGTTCCACCTTGTAAGTATAGTGATTCTTTGCGGTCCAAAATGTCCGCCTTTAGATACAACATAATTAAACTTAGTTTTACCCAATATTAAAAAACTGCAGCTTCATTCATTTTGGACCAAAGGCGAAAAGTTCACAATTTTACCAACTGAATGCTTTTTTTTTCTTTCATGATTTTTGTCACGCTGTAATTACTAATTGGTTTGTGCGTCCTTTTTGCATAGATACATGCGTGTAAGATGAACGTTATCTTTATTTTGTAGTCCCGTTCAGTTGTGGCTATACCATCGGAACAAAGGCTCGTCCAGGAGCTCTAGGAAACGGCGGTGCAGTGGGCTGGGCAAAGGATGTAGCAGACGTTGTTTTTGCCTGTGTTCCCGCTTTGTCTGTCCTGTCGTCTATTTGGGGAGGCATAAGGTAAGCTAAAACTTATATATACTGGTAAGTGCTAAAAAAAAAAAGATAGGATGGAAATGAAATGACCATAGAAAACTTGTACAACAGCCAACCCTGTTTAAAGGGCGTTTTAAATCGCGTGAGCAGATGCGATTGTCAGTATATAATGGTGAGACAATTACCAGCCTAGCAGTACGTGCGCAATTCTCAAAGTAAGCGCAGAAGTACATTGACGAAGGGGCTAAAGTGAAGCTGTATATGATGATAAGATTGACATTTTCTATATTAATAGGAGATTGGGATTTTTACACATAGCTATATGAGATTCAGATAAGAATCTGTTTTAAATTTGGGTCGATTTTGAACTTGATATTATTTATCATGAATCAGGTGTATAGAAACGATTGGAGACGCATGTTTGCCGTCAGTGTCATATGAAAGAAGACGAAGGGCAATAAGTTTACTTACAAAAGAAGAGGTCGCTCCCATCTTAGCCTACAGGGTTCAGTCGCTCCAGAATCTGGTTCAGTTGATGCTCATGTTCGTTGATGAACCAGAACAGTGGTAAGTATATCTTTAAAGGAGGAAATTATTTCACTTATATTTTATGTAATATATCAGGATTTTTCTAGATTTTAAATGCATAGCGCTCACATGCAATTGGTAAATAGCTTTCTGTTATCTGCCATATGTTCTTTTCAATTTCCATCGTTTTCGAAACCTTTTTTCTCTATATCTAAATACGCATTTGTATATCATTTAAGGCAATTTGTGGACGCCAACGTGTGGTGGAAAAATCAACTCCGACCTCTGCTGGCAGACGACAGTGACGGCGGCCATCTGATAACTAGAGCTGAACTAGATTCCGTTCGAGGAACTAATCCAACAAACATGTCTGAAGTCATGATGGAAAAGTTTGTCACGAGGCTAAATAATTCCTTGACTAACTGGGAAAATGGAATACTTGAAGGGCAAGGAGTCATCAGTTATAACAAGGCGTTAGAACGTATGAACAGAATCACCAACGATACACGGACCGCAAAAGATGTTAGTTCAAATGGGTAGTTTGATTACAACTTTTTCCTTAACACGTTTTTAAAGAATGTCTTGAGAGATAAAAAATGTATTAAAGCTGTGTTACATATCAATGATATTAAAAGGGTGTACAATGTTTGTCGCAAATACTGTAGTAAATTTAGATTTCATAACGAGAGGAAACAAGCCTGCAGAGATTTGCACTAAGGACTCCATCTAGTGTTTTTTTTATTTTTATTATATTTTTTTATTTCATTTTTTTTTACAAAATGTGCGCATTGAATCCTAATGTTATAAGACACATATGTTTCATTGGCGAAAAATAGATAAATAGACAGTTTTATTTTTACTCTAGGCGGGGGCGCAAACCATTTTTGATTGGCACAATGAAGCGAATCAGCAGTTTTTAGACGCAAAGACGGTAACCATTTCTTTTTTTTACATTTCCCCAATGTTTTCACAGTTGGAAAATGTTGTTTCTGTCAAAATGTTTATTTGAATATGATGATCTTTCTCTATGGTTACAGGTTTTTAAGTATCAAACAAAACGGGTATAATCAAGTGTATTACATGTTTTAAGCTGCAACATATTTATGAACATGTGTATTTTTATAGGGCAGGGGTGTCTGTGCCAAAGTTCGGATCCAGATCGTGCAGGAATTGGTTCTCACAAGAGATGCGTTTGAAGCGACACTGGAAATTGAAAATGGCGAGACAAATACTTTGGAGAAGATTAGAGTTGAAATAATAATCACTCGGAGTGAAACTGGCGAAAGAGCAACCGAATTGTTTTCGATAGGTAATGCATTTTTATAAGAATAATGTTTTCCAGTGANTTTTTTTTTTTTTTTTTTTTTTTTGTAAGAATAATGATATCCAGTAATCTCTTATGGCCAAAATGCTCATGTTATATGTAATTAAAGAAAAGCCCGTCAATTTAGATGCCGATTAATTCTGTTTATGTCATGATACTTAAAAACGTCTTTTTCAGACAGATATGGTCACAGTTGAACTTATATTTAAAAATTATGCCAACTTTTTTTTTTCGTATGCAGGATTAACAAACAGAAAAACGGGGTCGTTTTACCGAACTTCCCTGTGGTTGTTCTTTTTTAAAAAAAGACCAGTTTGGATCACATATTATATTTTATACTCAGGTCAGCCCAAGCTATCCGGATTAACGGACGTGTCTGGAAATGGTACCCTTACTCCAAAACAAGAGGGAAGCTCTATCTGGCTTATAGTACCTTACAGTGAGGCGGCACCTCAAGAGGACACTCAATATGACATGGGTACATTAAATTAATCAATGATTTGTGTTTAATAGTAGTTTACAGTTTGCAAGTATTGATAGTGGCATCCGGTGCTTTCGAAAGTAAATGCATTATGGTGGAAATCAATGACTAATATTTGTTTGAAAAAAATCCGAGTTTAGAATAGAATTAATAGAGTATTTACAGTATTTTAAACATTTTTCACTTGTAAAAATGCTTTGATTGGATACTCGCATCTATTTTACATTTCATTGGTATAATTGGTGGTAGGATGTTCAATATTTAGCCCTTACTTATCTTGCAGGAGGGAAACTATTTTATACACTTAACGGAGAAGAAATCACAGTTCCTCTTTTCCCTGACACCGTGACCGTTAAACCAGACCCACGCCTTCACATTAACTACTTCTTGGAAAAGTATGTCTTAGGGGACGATCCATTCACAACAGGTACCTGGTGTATACAAAATCATTTTTACATTGTAGAGGCGGCAGATATTTATTATTTTAGTGACGTGTCAGTTGAGCAGCAGTATGAAGAGGATTGGCAGCTGAAAGCCATTGCGGAAATTGGCGTAATTGCATTGGCTAAGATGAGTACAAAAAAAACTGAAAGACTTTCAAAATGCAGCTTTAGAAAATGAGAACTCCTCTCATCTGTCGCTTTTTTCCGCAAGTACATTTACAAATATATTCACCGTAAGCCTTGCATAGTAGGTTAATAAGACACTTTTGTTGAATTTTTCTAGATGTTGTTGAACCATCGGTCCCGTTCTCGCTGGGGGTATTGGTTTCAAATACAGGGTATGGTTCCGCAAACCAAATGCAGATCACGTCAGCTCAGCCTGAAATTATTGATAACGAGAAGGGACTACTTATCAGTTTCAAAATCATTGGCGCTCAGCTGGGGGCAGAACCGATTTCGACGTCCTTGACTGTGAACTTTGGAGACATACTACCAAATACTACAAAAATGGCGAGATGGATGATGACGTCATCGCTACCAGGAAGATTTTCTAATTATTCGGCGACGTTCGAGAATATCAATCCATTAGGTAATATCTTAAGATTTTATACTGTTTTTGATATTATTGATAAATATAAGTGTGTATTCTGAATAGATATTGTGGGTTGAAATAGGTATATCCCATGTTATTTATTCATTAGTAGAAATGTCTAACATTTACAGAAAGGGCAGTACAATTATGACGATGGTATTGACTTCTGTTTTTGTTGCTACCCGAGGTAGAAAGTACAAAACCTTTTTTTCTTTCATATTATTTATTCACTATTTCTCCATCTCTCCCTCTGTTACATCTTTCAATCTCCTGCGGCCTTCTCGCTGCTTTACTCGCTTCGTGAAATTTAACCGCCAACCTAACAGAATTTCGACTCACAAAAATGTATGTCCACTCAAATTGAATGTGAAATATTAATTTGTTTTTAGGAGACCCTCAGTTATCAGTTTTAGATTCCGTTGAATTTCACGAGCTTCTACATGTCGTTCGTGTGGAACCAGACGACGGCATTCCGGACTTCTTGGTCGTGCCAGACATGAGTTTGGATTTACTTCCCAATTTTATATACACCAGTCACGACGGAAACAACCCATACCCTGTGTCGTCTGCAAACATAACTCATATTCAGTTTAATGGTGGCAAAGAAATAAAGGTACTGCAATGGCATTAAAAGCTTTTAAACTCCTTAAGAAAAATTACTCTGTGTTCATTGGCATATTTCTTAATGAAGATCAGAAATTATTTTTCCGAATTTTTTTATTCTTCTTGGCAAGTGAAAACATATAGATATATACAGTAGGCCTATTAACGCTCACTTTTTGATATGAAATAAACCAGGTAATGCATGTAATCTTTATTAAACAATCTGTTGTTAATATAATCTATCTTTTTACAGTTAACGGTGAAGTCGGACAGCAGCGGTTGGATTTATGCCAGAACTGAATTCAGTGAAGATTTATCACTAGATGTCGACTCTGTTACTCGTTCCGATGGAAAAACAATATTACCTGACTACAATATGTGGATTGGCAAAATCAACGACAATTCGTTACTACAGATTGTAGATTTTTATGAAAATACAACCGGCGTGCACATGTACATGTACACCGTCAAACTGGCAAGAAAAAATATCTTTGCTCCAAAGTTTGACCCGACATACATATCACTGAATGTTACTGAAGGGACACCAACTGACACTCTTATTTACACTGCTATGGCCACAGATAACGACACTCCCCCTGAGAACATGGTTTCATACCACTTACAGAGTACCGGTAGTGTGCCTTTCAGCGTAAACGATCAAAGCGGGGAAATCAGGGTGTCAGGAGATCTGGATAGAGAAATGGAGGACATCATTTCATTCCGTTTTCTAGCAACGGACGGAGGGGAGCCACAAAAAACTGGAACTCTGTCCGTGGATGTGGATGTTATCGATGTCAATGACGAGTACCCTGTATTCAACCCCACTCAATATTCAACAAACTTAGAGGTTGATGCGCCAGTATCATATTCAATTGTTCAAGTATCGGCTACAGACCGAGATAGCGGTTCCAATGGCCAGCTTACATACGGCATAAACAATCCAGATGGAACATTCGAAATTGATCCCGACACTGGTGAATTACGGGTGGCGTCTTCGTTAAACACCTCTTTGTCGCCTTATGTGTTGGAGATATTTGCTGAAGATCGTGGAATTCCCCCGAGGCGCAGCCCTGTGCTCGCACAAGTGACCATTGAAGTAACACCTGTAAATCGCAACGCCCCTGTATTTGATGCTGACGTCAACAGTTTCTCGATAGCGGAAGCTGCTATTATAGGCACGGTGGTTGGCTCTGTGTCAGCATCAGACCACGACACCTCACAGACGGTCACATATNTTCTGTAGTCCTCATCATAAATATATTTTCATAGTAATTTAAAGGTTCGTCAGTGTCAGGGTCACAAAATAATAATAATAATTTCTACGATTTTCAGGGATAGCCGTTTTCAAAGATGTAGCAGAGTCTTTCTATGATGTATATGCCGAGGCAGAGAAACACACCCCATTGTCCAAAGTTATTGCGGCAAATGAAGACCAAAATTTAGTTCGAATGTTTCTGGAGAGAACTGGTGTCACATACAAGTAAGACTAAGTGGATATCAATATGCGTATTGCATACGTATCGATATCAAATGATTTTCGGGAATCATAACCATAATAAATAACACTCAATTTTTCTTTAAATCTCAATTAGAAGAGACCACATAATTTTGTATGTCATTGAATTCCTTATTTTTTACTATTTATACCTATTGTCTACAAAAAATTGATTGTTTCACTAATAATACTTGTATACAAACTGACCTCCTGAAAACATTATTTACCACAGTTGGAGAGTAGAACCAGTGACGTTTGAGGACAGATACGTCATCACTTTAGAGGCAGATTTTGAAACTCAGGTTCCAATGCCAGTTGTCACCATAGACCCAAAGGAACTGGATCTGGACGTATTAGAACGTTGTGCATACGGCAACAGCATAACGTTTACTGTAAGCAACCACGGTCTCATACGAGCAGACGATTTCCAGTTCACTTTGCCAGATGCAAACGCACACCCTTTCTTGAGATTCGCAATGGTAATATTCTTGTTTATAAGTATCTAATAAGTCTTGCAGTGTTTTGTGAGCAATACATCTAATGAAAGAATAAGAGAGAGTCATAATAATATATCACATTAGATTGCGCTTTGCAAAACACAAAAACACACTTTTTGGGATTGTTGGCAAGACCAGCGTTTAAACGAAAATCTGTTACCAGCTTTTGTCATACCATGCTTCATGTTTGCATGGTGAGGTATGTGGCACAGAAGAACCATTTTTATGCAAGCCAAGTTTAGCATAAATGTGCATTCTCGTTTATCGATTAGTGTAGGTCCCTTTATAGTTTTATAGTTTCACGTCCAATGCCAAAAACAGAACGTCTGTTAGTGTCTAATGTGTGAAAATTGTTTTATTTTCTACCAGTCTCAGACAAGTCAATATATCTACATGACTGCTCTTCAAATGAAAACATTTTTCAGGCACAGGATGGTCCTATCGGTGGCATTCCTGCCAATACGTCCGTTCAGTTTTCTGTACTGGTATATGGGTGTGGGGCGCAGGCTGATGAAGCCACTGGTCTTGTCCCTGTCGTTGTTCGGCAAAGAAGGGCATTTGGAGGCACTGTGTAAGTTAACTGCGTACGCATGCATACGCTTCTTAGTTGCGGTGCATGATGGAAATAAAGATCTGTACGACTCTAGCAAGGACGTTAGCTGTCAATGATGCAGTTTAGCTAGTAAAGACATAATCATTATCTGCTGGGTATATTAACTGTTAATACAGTGTATGTGTGTGTGTGTGTGTGAATTGAATCAGCTGTTTATCTATACATACATTCTCATTCTCTCACTGCAGGTGTAGCAGCGGTTTTTCTTTCAGTGGTTCATACTCGTACATTTGTGACACCAAAAGAACAAGGAGTTTTTCAGTGCCTGCTCGACCCAGAACCGCAAGACCGGCTTGTATCTCGATAATAATAAATCCTCCTCGCGGAGGTGGAGGGCCAGGTGGAGGGCCAAGTGGTGGCGGCTGCTGTGCGGGTAAATACATTTAGTTTTGTGCTCTCACATTCTCTTTCTCATTCATTTGTTAAAAACACAAATAGCTAGCTACATGTTTGTGCACAAATTTTGGTTTGCACAAATTTTGGTTTACACAATATTTGGTGTACACGTCCTTTGGCTTGACTCTGCAACCACACAAATTGAAATGTGTGCACTATTTGTTTGGAAATAATTTGTTAACTGTATAGACTAGTAGATTTTTAAGGCGTAAGCATTACGTAAATATAGGATATCAATATTCAACATAATTAAATGTTTATATCACTAAAAAGTTTCACTTTTTATCAGAAGGGCCTTCAATTAAGTGCGGCCGTCATCGGCCAAATTTCGAACATCATACTCGAGTTTGTCCTAGTCTTTTAATTGGTATGTCATATTATTTAAGTCGATTTTGATCAAGGAGAAATAAATGTTTCTATTGTTAGAAAACGAATGGTGACATATTGGCCCACATATTTTCACTGAAGGGTCCATTCTTCTATGTAACTATACGACGCTATATGCACTGTATCACGTTAAGTCTACATACATGTATTTTGTTATTAATTTCAGTGCTACGCATTCGATTCCGTTCTATTGTATCCATATTCTAGGTTCTTCCAGTCTTACCGTCACTGTCACTCAGGACGTGTCTTGTGAAAAATGCGTACTGAACGTTGTTGACTGTATACTTGGAAACGTTCCACCTTGTAAGTATAGAGATTCTTTGCGGTCCAAAATGTCCGCCTTTAGATACAACATAATTGAACTTAGTTTTACCGAATATTAAAAAATTGCAGCTTCATTCATTTTGGACCGAAGGCGAAAAGTTCACAATTTTACCAACTGAATGCTTTTTTTTTCTTTCATGATTTTTGTCACGCTGTAACTACCATAGCTGTTGAGTCTATACTGCAAAAATTTATAAGCAACATACATGTACCTTATAATTACAACAAATTATTCTTGACAAATTTTATTATATTTTTTTATCCACCTAACGTTTTTTTCGATATAACTCAATTGGTTTGTGCGTCCTTTTTGCATAGATACATGCGTGTAAGATGAACGTTGCATAAGACGCGTTATCTTTATTTCGTAGTCCCGTTCAGTTGTGGCTACACCATTGGAACAAAGGCTCGTCCAGGAGCTCTAGGAAACGGCGGCGCAGTGGGCTGGGCAAAGGATGTAGCAGACGTCGTTTTTGCCTGTGTTCCCGCTTTGTCTGTCCTGTCGTCAATTTGGGGAGGCCTAAGGTAAGATAGAACTAACATATACTAGTAAGTGCTGAAGAAAAAAAAGATAAAATGGGAAGGAAATGACCATAGAAAACGTTATGCTTAACTTTGCCAAGTTAAGCAGAAAAGGACGTTTTAAATCGCGTCGGCAGATACGATTATCTGTATATAATGGTGAGACAATTACCAGCCTAGCAGTACGTGCGCAATTGCATCCAAAAAGTCAGCGCAGAAATGTATTGACGCAGGGCTAAAAGGAAGCTCTATATGCTGATAAGATTGACATCATATATATTTATAGGAGATTGTGATTTTTACACATAGCTATATGAGATTCAGATAAGAATCTGTTTAAAATTCGGGTCGATTTTGAACTTGATATTATTTATCATCAATCAGGTGTATAGAAACGATTGGAGACGCATGTTTACCGTCAGTGTCATATGAAAGAAGACGGAGGGCTATAAGTTTACTTACAAAAGAAGAGGTCGCTCCCATCTTAGCCTACAGGGTTCAGTCGCTCCAGAATCTGGTTCAGTTGATGCTCATGTTCGTTGATGAACCAGAACAGTGGTAAGTATATCTTTAAAGGAGGAAATTATTTCACTTATATTTTATATAATATATCAGGATTTTTCTAGATTTTAAATGCATAGCACTCACGTGCAATTGGCAAATGGCTTTCTGTTATCTGCCATATGTTCTTTTCAATTTCCATCGTTTTAGAAACCTTTTTTCTCTATATCTAAATACGCATTTGTATATCATTTAAGGCAATTTGTGGACGCCAACGTGTGGTGGAAAAATCAACTCCGACCTCTGCTGGCAGACGACAGTGACGGCGGCCATCTGATAACTAGAGCTGAACTAGATTCCGTTCGAGGAACTAATCCAACAAACATGTCTGAAGTCATGATGGAAAAGTTTGTCACGAGGCTAAATAATTCCTTGACTAACTGGGAAAATGGAATACTTGAAGGGCAAGGAGTCATCAGTTATAACAAGGCGTTAGAACGTATGAACAGAATCACCAACGATACACGGACCGCAAAAGATGTTAGTTCAAATGGGTAGTTTGATTACTACTTTTTCCTTAACACGTTTTTAAAGAATATCTTGAGAGATAAAAAATGTATTAAAGCTGTGTTACATATCAATGATATTAAAAGGGTGTACAACGTTTGTCGCAAATACTGTAGTAAATTTAGATTTCATAACGAGAGGAAACAAGCCTGCAGAGATTTGCATTAAAGACTCCATCTAGTGTTTTTTTATTTTTATTATATTTTTATTTCATTTTTTTACAAAATGTACGTATTGAATCCTAATGGCGAAAAATAGATAAATAGACAGTTTAATTTTTACTCTAGGCTGGGGCGCAAACCATTTTTGATTGGCACAATGAAGCGAATCAGCAGTTTTTAGACGCAAAGACGGTAATCTTTTCTTTTTTTTACATTTCCCCAATGTTTTCCAAGTTGGAAAATGTTGTTTCTGTCAAAATGTTTATTTTAATATGATGATCTTTCTCTTTGGGCGGTGGTTACAGGTTTTTAAGTATCAAACAAAACGGGTATAATCAAATGCATTGCATGTTTGTAAGCTGCAACATATTTATGAACGTGTGTATTTTAATATAGGGCAGGGGTGTCTGTGCCAAAGTTCGGATTCAGATCGTGCAGGAATTGGTTCTCACAAGAGATGCGTTTGAAGCGACACTGGAAATTGAAAATGGCGAGACAAATACTTTGGAGAAGATTAGAGTTGAAATAATAATCACTCGGAGTGAAACTGGCGAAAGAGCAACCGAATTGTTTTCGATAGGTAATGCATTTTTATAAGAATAATGTTTTCCAGTGATCTTTTATGGCCAAAAAGCTCATGTTATATGTAATTAAAGAAAAGCCCGTCAGTTTAGATGCCGATTAATTCTATTTATGTCATGATACTTAAAAACGTCTTTTTCAGACAGATATGGTCACAGTTGAACTAATATTTGAAAATTATGCCAACTTTTTTTTTCGCATGCAGGATTAACAAACAGAAAAACGGGGTCGTTTTACCGAACTTCCCTGAACCAAAATTTGGTTGTTCTTTTTAAAAAAAGACCAGTTTGGATCACACATTATATTTTATACTCAGGTCAGCCCAAGCTATCCGGATTAACGGACGTATCTGGAAATGGTATCCTTACTCCAAAACAAGAGGGAAACTCTATCTGGCTTATAGTACCTTACAGTGAGGCGGCACCTCAAGAAGACACTCAATATGACATGGGTACATTAAATTAATCAATGATTTGTGTTTAATAGTAGTTTACAGTTTGCAAGTATTGATAGTGGCATCCGGTGCTTTCAAAGGTAAATGTCCGAGTTTAGAATAGAATTAATAGAGTATTTACAGTATTTTAAACATTTTTCACTTGTAAAAATGCTTTGGTTAGATACTCGCATCTATTTTACATTTCATTGGCATAATAGGTTCTTAGTGGTAGGATGTTCAATATTTAGCCCTTACTTATGTATCTTGCAGGAGGGAAACTATTTTATACACTCAACGGAGAAGAAATCACAGTTCCTCTTTTCCCTGACACCGTGACCGTTAAACCAGACCCACGCCTTCACATTAACTACTTCTTGGAAAAGTATGTCCTAGGGGACGATCCATTCACAACAGGTACCTGGTGTATACAAAATCATTTTTACATTGTAGAGGCGGCAGATATTTATTATTTCAGTGACGTGTCAGTTGAGCAGCAGTATGAAGAGGATTGGCAGTTGAAAGCCATTGCGGAAATTGGCGTAATTGCATTGGCTAAGATGAGTACAAAAAAAAACTGAAAGACTTTCAAAGTGCAGCTTTAGAAAATGAGAACTCCTCTCATCTGTCGCTTTTTCCGCAAGTTCATTTTACGAATATATATTGCATAGTAGGTTAATAAGACACTTTCGTTGACTTTTTCCAGATGTTGTTGAACCATCGGTCCCATTCTCGCTGGGGGTACTGGTTTCAAATACAGGGTATGGTTCCGCAAACCAAATGCAGATCACGTCAGCTCAGCCTGAAATTATTGATAACGAGAAGGGACTACTTATCAGTTTCAAAATCACTGGCGCTCAGTTGGGGGCAGAACCGATTTCGACGTCCTTGACTGTGAATTTTGGAGACATACTACCAAATACTACAAAAATGGCGAGATGGATGATGACGTCATCGCTACCAGGAAGATTTTCTAATTATTCGGCGACGTTCGAGAATATCAATCCATTAGGTAATATCTTAAGATTTTATACTGTTTTTGATATTATTGATAAATATAAGTGTGTATTCTGAATAGATATTGTGGGTTGAAATAGGTATATCCTATGTTATTTATTCATAAGCAGAAATGTCTAACATTTACAGAAAGGGCAGTACAATTGTGACGATTGTATTGACTTCTGTTTTTGTTGCTACCCGAGGTAGAAAGTACAAAACCTTTTTTTCTTTCATATTATTTATTCACTATTTCCAGTCCCATTTTCTCCATCTCTCCCTTTATATCTTTCAATCTCCTGCGGCCTTCTCGCTGTTTTACCCGCTTCGTGAAATTTAACCGCCAACCTCACAGAATTTCGACTCACAAAAATGTATGTCCACTCAAATTGAATGTGAAATATTAATTTGTTTTTTAGGAGACCCTCAGTTATCAGTTTTAGATTCCGTTGAATTTCACGAGCTTCTACATGTCGTTCGTGTGGAACCAGACGACGGCATTCCGGACTTCTTGGTCGTGCCAGACATGAGTTTGGATTTACTTCCCAATTTTATATACACCAGTCACGACGGAAACAACCCATACCCTGTGTCGTCTGCAAACATAACTCATGTTCAGTTTAATGGAGGCAAAGAAATAAAGGTACCACAATGGCAGTAAAAGCTTTTAAACTCCTAAAGAAAAATTACTATGTGTTCATTGGCATATTTCTTAATGAAGATCAGAAATTATTTATCTGAATTTTTTAAATTCTTCTTGGCAAGTGAAAACATATAGACATGTATACAGTAGGCCTGTTAACGCTCACTTTTTGATATGAAATAAACCAGGTAATGCACGTAATCTTTATTAAACAATCTGTTGTTAATATAATCTATCTTTTTACAGTTAACAGTGAAGTCGGACAGCAGCGGTTGGATTTATGCCAGAACTGAATTCAGTGAAGATTTATCACTAGATGTCGACTCTGTTACTCGTTCCGATGGAAAAACAATATTACCTGACTACAATATGTGGATTGGCAAAATAAACGACAATTCGTTACTACAGATTGTAGATTTTTATGAAAATACAACCGGCGTGCACATGTACATGTACACCGTCAAGCTGGCAAGAAAAAATATCTTTGCTCCAAAGTTTGACCCGACATACATATCACTGAATGTTACTGAAGGGACACCAACTGACACTCTTATTTACACTGCTATGGCCACAGATAACGACACTCCCCCTGAGAACATGGTTTCATACCACTTACAGAGTACCGGTAGTGTGCCTTTCAGCGTAAACGATCAAAGCGGGGAAATCAGGGTGTCAGGAGATCTGGATAGAGAAATGGAGGACATCATTTCATTCCGTATTCTAGCAACGGACGGAGGGGAGCCACAAAAAACTGGAACTCTGTCCGTGGATGCCCATGTTATCGATGTCAATGACGAGTACCCTGTATTCAACCCCACTCAATATTCAACAAACTTAGAGGTTGATGCGCCAGTATCATATTCAATTGTTCAAGTATCGGCTACAGACCGAGATAGCGGTTCCAATGGCCAACTTACATACGGCATAAACAATCCAGATGGAACATTCGAAATTGATCCCGACACTGGTGAATTACGGGTGGCGTCTTCGTTAAACACCTCTTTGTCGCCTTATGTGTTGGAGATATTTGCTGAAGATCGTGGAATTCCCCCGAAGCGCAGCCCAGTGCTCGCACAAGTGACCATTAAAGTAACACCTGTAAATCGCAATGCCCCTGTATTTGATGCTGACGTCAACAGTTTCTCGATAGCGGAAGCTGCTATTATAGGCACGGTGGTTGGCTCTGTGTCAGCATCAGACCACGACACCTCACAGACGGTCACATACATGCTGGGTCCAAACCAAAACATTCCTTTCGAAGTGAACACAACCAGTGGAGCCCTGAGAACAACTGGTGTTTTGGACTACGAAAAGGCCAAGTTGTACGAGTTTACCGTTCTTGCAAAGGACAACGGCAACCCACCGACTGGAAGTCTAACTGGCACCACGACGGTGTCGGTAAATGTTACTGATGTGAACGACAACGCAGCCGCATTCGCTGACAATGCATACGACGTGACTATCCTGGAGGACTCTGAGATGGGAACGAATGTCATTCGCACGGTCGCTTTTGATGCAGATTCTGGTGAAAATGGTAGGATCTCGATTGTAACGTTAATAGGATCTGACCTTCCATTCGAAGTCAATTTTGATGGATCCAACGTAACTGTGCGGACTGCGGGTTTGTTGGACAGGGAAACCAAGGACTCGTATGTTTTTAATCTGGTTGCTGTGGATGCCGGGGTTCCTCAAAAGACGGGTTTGGCACAGGTCACGGTGACAGTAGAAGATGTGAATGACAACCCACCTGTCATTACGCCGCCAGCCGACCCGGTGACCTTGGCACCAGACACGCCCGTTAACACTGAAGTAACCACAGTCCAGGCAACCGATGCTGACATCACAGGTTTATATTACGTTTTTCTAGATGATCGACAACGAATTATGTTCATGTCTTATAATCTTAGAGTGAAGTCTCGCTTAATGAATATCTTAAGGTAAAACCTGCACGTGATATGCCACACGGTACTTTTACTGGTACCGTCAATGTGTATATGAGGAATAGATGTGTTATCATAGAATGAACTAAACTTGTATGATTATTATAGTCCATTGCCAATATCAATTTTGTACTATGCTTTTAGGAATGCTTCGATATTCTTTGTCGAATGATGGTTCCGGAAAGTTCGCCATCAACGCTGAGACTGGGGCTATTCGTCTAATAAAGCCATTGGCCGCGGCCCAGACATCGTTTACTGTCGACGTTTTGGTAACAGACGGCGTGCATAATGTCACGGCCAGTGTCAACCTGCAAGTTGCAACGTCCAACACCTTTGCTCCCTTTTTTAACAAAACCAAATATGAAACGATGGTAATCAATTATATTCTTTTATCAGAAAATTGTACTAAGTTGTGTCAATCTTAACTTAATACCTCAGTACTATTTACGCTAACTTCCGCCCTCCTTAATGTAAAAATAAAGAAATAGTTCGTTATAANCTTACATACGGCATAAACAATCCAGATGGAACATTCGAAATTGATCCCGACACTGGTGAATTACGGGTGGCGTCTTCGTTAAACACCTCTTTGTCGCCTTATGTGTTGGAGATATTTGCTGAAGATCGTGGAATTCCCCCGAAGCGCAGCCCAGTGCTCGCACAAGTGACCATTAAAGTAACACCTGTAAATCGCAATGCCCCTGTATTTGATGCTGACGTCAACAGTTTCTCGATAGCGGAAGCTGCTATTATAGGCACGGTGGTTGGCTCTGTGTCAGCATCAGACCACGACACCTCACAGACGGTCACATATATGCTGGGTCCAAACCAAAACATTCCTTTCGAAGTGAACACAACCAGTGGAGCCCTGAGAACAACTGGTGTTTTGGACTACGAAAAGGCCAAGTTGTACGAGTTTACCGTTCTTGCAAAGGACAACGGCAACCCACCGACTGGAAGTCTAACTGGCACCACGACGGTGTCGGTAAATGTTACTGATGTGAACGACAACGCAGCCGCATTCGCTGACAATGCATACGACGTGACTATCCTGGAGGACTCTGAGATGGGAACGAATGTCATTCGCACGGTCGCTTTTGATGCAGATTCTGGTGAAAATGGTAGGATCTCGATTGTAACGTTAATAGGATCTGACCTTCCATTCGAAGTCAATTTTGATGGATCCAACGTAACTGTGCGGACTGCGGGTTTGTTGGACAGGGAAACCAAGGACTCGTATGTTTTTAATCTGGTTGCTGTGGATGCCGGGGTTCCTCAAAAGACGGGTTTGGCACAGGTCACGGTGACAGTAGAAGATGTGAATGACAACCCACCTGTCATTACGCCGCCAGCCGACCCGGTGACCTTGGCACCAGACACGCCCGTTAACACTGAAGTAACCACAGTCCAGGCAACCGATGCTGACATCACAGGTTTATATTACGTTTTTCTAGATGATCGACAACGAATTATGTTCATGTCTTATAATCTTAGAGTGAAGTCTCGCTTAATGAATATCTTAAGGTAAAACCTGCACGTGATATGCCACACGGTACTTTTACTGGTACCGTCAATGTGTATATGAGGAATAGATGTGTTATCATAGAATGAACTAAACTTGTATGATTATTATAGTCCATTGCCAATATCAATTTTGTACTATGCTTTTAGGAATGCTTCGATATTCTTTGTCGAATGATGGTTCCGGAAAGTTCGCCATCAACGCTGAGACTGGGGCTATTCGTCTAATAAAGCCATTGGCCGCGGCCCAGACATCGTTTACTGTCGACGTTTTGGTAACAGACGGCGTGCATAATGTCACGGCCAGTGTCAACCTGCAAGTTGCAACGTCCAACACCTTTGCTCCCTTTTTTAACAAAACCAAATATGAAACGATGGTAATCAATTATATTCTTTTATCAGAAAATTGTACTAAGTTGTGTCAATCTTAACTTAATACCTCAGTACTATTTACGCTAACTTCCGCCCTCCTTAATGTAAAAATAAAGAAATAGTTCGTTATAAAACAGATACAACAAAAGTGTTACCTTCTCTAGACATGAGACCGACTTAGAATGTAAGTGGAGAGTCAAGATTTACCAATATTGATGTTACAATTAATCATAACACTTAATATATTACAGGTACTCGAAAACTCTGCCCCAGGGGTAGTTGTAGAGACGGTAGTTGCAACTGATCAAGACAGCAGCGTAGTGACGTATTCTATAGCTGATGGTAATGTTGGGAGTGCATTCACAATTGACGCCTTTTCTGGTAAGTTTTCATTCCACTTGACACAGTTAAGTTTATACAACATTATATGGAAAATATGTAGTACTGGATGTTCCATATGCATTTATTTTAACAACAGTATGTAATTCTGCCTTATACACTTTATACGTCAATCACCCTACGTATTTATATCGAAACAAGGGGTTGGTGCAATTAAGAATTTTTTTTCGGAATTAGACCTAGCATTTATACTAAAGAACATACTTTTAAATATTAAAATTAAATTAAAATTAAGTATTTGGTATTTTAATCAATAGCCTTAGAAGGGCAAATGGGTCCGAAGTTAATTGATTGCTGACACTCTGTTGAAAGGAAGAAAAATGGCGGTCATTTTATGATACGGACACTACGATAAGCTCCTTCACCGATCCCTTTTTGTGGATAGCAGATACAAAATATTTATCTAAGAATTGAAGAAATTTCTAGAACCAGAAGTATTGGTTATAATGTAATTCAATTTTATTTTATTTTCAAGGCCAAATCACTGTCCAAGGAAGTTTAGACAGAGAAAGCAGACCTATGTATAATTTGACAGTCGTGGCAAGTGACAGTGGCATCAACGGGCAAAATATCCTCACCTCAGCTGTACCCGTCTTCATCACAGTTGGAGATGTCAATGAGTTTACTCCAGAATTTCAGGAGACCGAACTGGTGTCTCGCATATATGAAAATCTGCCCGGGAATACTTTCCTAAGAGAGGTGAGCTTTTTTGTTCTGTTCAGTAACATCAGTTCGAGCTTAATACCTGTTTTGTAATTTTAATGCGTAAGGTGATGTGAACTGATACAGAACGTTTAGTTTGGAGAGAGAGGAACGGAGCTATGATAAATTTTATCCCCAAATATCCCACGCCCTGCTCGGTCAAGCAGCCTGTTTTGTTTAATACCAATAACACTCAATAAAACGGTATTTTCCTCCATCTTTCAGTTTAAAGTTCAGGACAATGACACTGATCAGACTATCCACTTCACGTTGATACAATCAGCAGAAAATGCTTTCTTCATCTCTTCCGACGGCCAGATATATATAACCAAATCACTGGACAGGGAGATGACTGGCCTTTACAGAATGGCAGTAGTTGCAAAGGACGATGGTAAGATCCACACAAAACATACACGTGCACTCCGTATATGGTAGTGTGAAAGTACTTAATATTAATGGCACACTAACCATTGTTTTTAAGTGAGTGCAGAACCATCTTGAAATGCTTTTGATTGACATAAAGGATATTCGTTATGTCCCTTTGTCATTGTTACCTGGTGATTTGGTTCTGAAATATTCATTTTGGTTCTTTCACACTTGTTCATTGCAAATTTGATATTTTATGTAGGTGTTCCCCCACGAAGTTCCACCATGGACCTGGAAGTACAGGTCCTCGATGTCAACGACAACGCCCCGGTCTTCACTGCTCCCTCCTATAATGAAACTGTAAACCTGGCTGACCTCCCTGACGGTTCAGACGCAATCCTCACCGTGAAAGCCGTTGATGCAGATATTGATGCCAATGGTGTTGTACGATACGGCTTAGAGTCCTCCCCAAATGATTATTTTGAGATCGACAGCATAATGGGAGTAATCCGCATACTGCCTGCAGGCCGGAACGTTGTTGGAGAGAGGACCGAAACCCTTACGGTTGTCGCTACAGACCGGGGTACCCCGCCACAAACTTCAGCTGCAGTAGCAAGAATCACGTTGATTGGGGCTGAGACTCCACGTACAAACTATTCAATTGAGGTAAGAAAACCTAACTTAAGATCTGTCAGTAGGAAAAGCACATATGCACGTATCACCCAACAAGGCCCTCTGTTGAAGTAGAGTAATCTGAGATATTGGTGGTGGATTGATTTATTTCATTTCTTTGCAACTTATGATAATTTGGCCTCTTCGTCGTATAAAAGTGTTTGACCCAGTAAACGGATTGATTATTAGACATTACGTTATAGTTTCGCAGTTAACACGTCAGGAACTTGGTCCTGGGGACGATTTCACATATTACAGGACTGTCTTGAAAATGAGTAGTGACTTGAGGCATGTGCTTATAAGCAGTTATCTTTCTTAGGATGGGAAAATGAATCTCTTAAGACTAAATCCTTGTTACAAAGTAGGCGCAATACTTAATTTAACACTACTTACTTATTGTGGGTCAAGGAAGACTTAAATATTGGCCTTAAAGTTTGGATCAATTTTTATCTTATAGGTATCTGAAGACACATTGCCCGGATCCACCATTCTACACTTAAATGTAACCCAGGTTGGTCTCAGTGTTATCTATACAATAGTGGACGGAAATGCGGAAGGGAAATTTTCTGTCGAGGTGCATGGTAAGTACAACCACCTGCTGGAATTCAATTATCTTTTCTACTGATTGTTCCCCAGCTACTGATAAGATATTTATTCAGTTGGTTGCAATCAAGTCGCGCTTTCGCAAATGTTGGAATTAGAAAGATGCCAACCTGCAGGTATCGGGATAATATTGATGAATTGATTTATATAAATGAAACTTTTAATGTAGATGGTTTTCCTGTCATCCATTTTTTGTAAGAATATTTAGCCACTGTTGATTGTTTTATGGGTCATTCCTCCTACAGGTCACCTCGTGTTGGAATCACGGTTGGATAGAGAAACGACACCGTCATACGTTTTAACACTGAATGGAACAGATGGACAGTTTACCGTTCATATCACTGTAACAAGATCGACGTCATCCACGTCAACAACGACGTCAACAACGACCCCGACAACGACGACGACAACGGAGACTTTGACAACGACGACGACGGAGACTTCGACAACGACGACAACAGAGACTTCGACAACGACTTCATCAGAAACGGAGTCAACGACAACGGTACTGACACCGTCTACCACCACTCCAACTATCCAGCAGCTGAATGAAGGTGCTTTCGTTTTTCTTTATTTTTATGTCAAACTGCGTTGGAAGTTTCACTATGTAAACATCTGTGTTTAACTCAGTTGTCTTTACGCTTGTATTTTAATTACGTCCCATGTTTGCATGTTTTCAATGTGTTGTTCATGTCTGAAAAGACACAGAACAAATGTTTTGCTTAATAGCAACAAAATGTCCAGTATGTTAATGAATTACATAAATAGATTTGTATCGAGTTTTGAGTTCATAATATGTAAACTTAATTTGTCAATAATTCCTTCAGAATTGACTGCGAAGAGACGGGAAGTGTTTGACGTCATGGAACAACTCAAAGACGCAGCTCTGCCTACCCAGGACTTCATGCGTATGTTTAACCAGTGGAGGATAATGGTAGGTTTTGACAGTAGAGATCTGCCCCGGCATCAACCGTTATATGTGAAATACTTTCAACATGCTGTCGTGCTTTAGGACCTCTTACTCTACCCTCATGTACATACTATTAAACGGTAGTCGTTTTCTTTTTCGAGGCCAATTTTTTTTTTTTTAACATTTCTCAAACATTTACGTATGTTTCCAAGTAAATATGTTTTGGATATGTATTAAATACGAATATTTGGAAAGGACATTAAAGGAAGTGAATGATTTGGACAAGTATATAAAGGGGTGTAAATCCACGTGCATGGCGCAGCATTACGTCTACTCCATGAAAAGTAATATACTGTGCGGGTATCCAGTGACAAAGGTTCTTGAGAAAGAAAAAACTAGGTTAAATCAAAGAATACAAATGTATTGGTTAGTTCGGGATCAAGATAAAGATATAAAAGTCCTGTGTTTGGGTAAAATAATATTAAGACCCATCCCAGGTTCTAGTAATGTGACTTCGACTTTCCAAAGACTCAACCCCCCCCCCCCCCAATTTACTCCCAACCCCGGGTAAATTTACACAAAGCAAATAAATGTTTTTAATTCAATGTATGCGGTTTTGTAGATATGATTATTTATTATTCCAGATTTTTGAATACCTACAAGTTTACAATGAGCGACAGGAGCGAATGAAAGACGAATAAAGGTTGGGACGACAACGTTTTGTCTAAACACACACACACGCTCAACTGTTGCTTTGAACATAATACATCGAGCTGACATGCAGAAATAATTTAATAAAAATCACGTGACTTAAAATTGGGGCTTTATATATGATTTGATTACTCGAAACTTAATATATACAGAATAATAAATTAAAATTATTTTTTCTTTCTTCTGTTGGTGTTCGTATTCGCTGTGTGTGATTTAATGGATTAAGATGTAAGTACATCATTGTTTATGAATTCATTTATCTTGTCCTACTTTTGACGAATTGGTTGTTCCAATATAGAAGAAGACGGAGTGGTGCTGATTAAAGGCGGGAAAACCTGTACATCAAATGTGCACCATGTTGGAGATATTTTTGTGCACCAGACGGAATGATATATTAATCAATGAAGTGACCGCTGAAAGAAATGGACTATTTTGATAATACTGAGAAACTCATTGAATATACATTCCACTGCAAAGCTAGTTTTGTTATAAGTATGGCTGATTTAAGATGATATTTGTATGATACACTTTTGTTGCTTTGAAATTTGAATTGAAATCTATTTTCCCAGTATTTTGCATTTGTTAACAACATTAGCCTACAATTGTTTATCACTAGAAAGTGTTGATTTGAAATAACAGACATTTGTCAGTCAGAATCTTTAATATTCCAGAAGTACATGCTTGTAATAATTTTATTCTTATGTTCTCCGTTAAAGCAGCTTTTTGGTATTTGATTATTGTTTCATGGAAAGACTAAAACACTTTACATAATGTTTTAATTATGCAATTCAAGAAAGCTTGTATTGGGGTGAACACATTGCTTTCTTCAAAATCGTTATTTGCTTTTTTAATTGTCTTTTGTGTTAAGATTACTTACTTCTAATATATAGAAATAAATGCTGTGCTCGGAAAAAATACCTTCTTGTCAAGTATCAACATTTTATTCACGGCATAGTATATATAGATTGTTGTAAATAGATATATTTACGTGGATTTCTTTGTTCTTCCTTGTTTGCATACATGTAGAACAAGTCTGTTTACACCTGCTAATTATAACAGTAGATCCATAATTGCTAAACGGAAAAGAAGAATCGTGTTTAACTATTCAAGTAAGTAGTAGTGTGGGAAAGGGCTGTACTTTAAATCTACATCGCAACAAAAATTAGGATGATTGATTCTGACCACATATGTCAATAATTGCCGACGTACGCTCCTATTCAAAGTGATTTAAAGAAATATTGTCTTTTCAAGTGGATTATAGAAAGCTGCTTCATCCAGGGTTTTTTATTTGGCCTTCGGGAGGACCTTCCTTTAAATAAACACAACTAAAATGTATTGATGTCTCTGAAAGACCAGTATTGTTTCATTTGATCGACTGAAACAACGAATAGGTATTATGAATTTTCTGTTTTTGATTTGAGACTGTATATTGTTTTTATAGCGTCCTGAAAATCAGTGCATTGAACTGTAAGTACAGAACTAAAACGAAACAGATGAAAAAATATGTTCAGAATACAAAAAATAGAGTAGCCCATTATATTTCGCGACACAAAAAAAATTACAGATAAACCATGTTTTATTTTACAGTTCAACAGATACACTGTATTCTCAGAGTAGCTTCCAAACCCATGGGTACATATAATGATATGTCAAAACCCAACGGTTTATTTATCAGAAGGTGAAATAGGGTTTTCGTTGCCTCTTGGTAAAGGTAAACAGTATCTTAATAGACCGAGTTCTTTTTTCCCCAGTATAGACGTTCCTTCTTAGAGTCGGTTAAAAAATTATATATATAATTTTATTCTCATAAGCCTTATACATTAGATGCAAAAAAAAAATGTGGCGAAAGTATTAAAAATTATGTGAAGAGGTGTTTATATTTGATAACATTCGGGTGCTGAAAAAATTTGTCTCTGTACCTCTTAACTTTCTTTTTACTTACTGTATTTTTTATATCCATTTAATGTAAGTTGCCTGATATAGAAGTCAGACCGAAAACCCTCTTCGACACTTTCTCCCTCGTGGAACCATCGGTCGTGCATGCTTAATACGAAGGCAGGTACACAGACCAATATACAGTGTTAAACAAAAAGAATGCAGAGATGAAGAGGTACCGCGATGTATAATCGACCATTTCTGCGGGCGTCCTTTTGGCGCAGTGGATCAGCGGTGATGTTTTCACACCGACCCATGACGACTCTGATGGTGTGGAAGAATGGCCTGGTAGCTCACTGGCCTGAAAACAGACAGATTTTAAAAATAAAATTTTAATGTCTTTACTGATATAATTTTATATGTTATAGCACCATCATCTACCTCAATGAACATCTTATCTCTCTCCGGAACACTTTTTATCTTTCGTAGACACTAACACCATATCACTACCCACTGTGCAACGCCTACCTCATCTGGTTTAGTCAATTCCTTTACGTCTTCTGCCTTTTTTCTTCTCAAGAGAAAGTTGACAACGGCGTATTCCAACATGGACGCCATTACGAATACCAAGCACACGGAGTTCCACACGTCTATGGCTTTGACGTAAGATACCTTTCAATTAAAACGTACTAAGTAAAATATCGATTTTGATGCATGTATAATTTAATGTATAATAAGTATATTAATTCTGCAATGAGCTTTTTTACCATATTATTTGAAATAAACATCTCTTCCCTCTCTCTCTCTCTATCTCTCAGTTATGCACCTTGCATTCTGATAAATACGAGTCAATATCAGTAACTGATTCGTCGATGATACTGAGAGTAAGGAAACCTGCTTGCGTACATCTTTAATGCTGATAAGAAGCAATATATACGTAAGCAACCCTACCCTTGGCAGCCCCGACTGCACCGAGACACTCTGGGTACTAATGGTCAGGATGGTGATGATCCCAATGGTGGTGCGGGCGGGCACAGCTGTAGGGTCTATCCAAAAGTTGACGAAGGACAGGAGCACAACGACTACACTAGGCGCATACACTTGGATTAGATAATAGTTCAAGTCTCTGCGAAAGGACATCTCGGCATAAATGCAGGTGTACCCGCCTAAAATCCGTAAGGTATTTACATCTTACTCTCATACGGAAAAATACATAGCTCAATAGACTGCATGTCATATATATATATTAATACCGTAAATCAATATATATAAAGTATATACTGATTTACAGTACATACAAAAAATAATAAATTACTAAATGCATGATTTAAGTTGAAGAATATTAAAAACAAATATACAGCAATGTCTTCACTGGTGGTGCGCTCTTCATTTACGCTCATTTTCGGTTTAACTATCAGCCGGAGTGTGTAGCAGGTTAAGTGTGACGTCATGTTCAGAAATAAAACCGATGTTGAACAAAATAATTGATTACTGAAGGAGTCTCTTTCGTACAGAACCACAAGACCACACCCATGTCGCTCGCGGAAGATCTGCAACTACAGTATTCAAACAAAATACCTGATGGATAAATCGTGCTGCAGTCACCAGTGGTTGTTCCCATTAGTGTGAAATCGGCTAAATTTCTTCCCGCGTCTTTGGCAAAAGATAAGGGGTCAGTTTCCTTCCAGGATAGTACCAGATTATTGATGTTGTAAGCATCTATATAAGAAAACAAAAGGAAAAAAAGAAAGTAAATATCAGTTCATTTATTTCAAACCACATTTTACGATGTATTGCGAATAGGCATTATTTTCGTAGAATATATTGTATGTGAAAAACGATCGCCAAAGCTAAATTTAACAAATAAATTTTATACATGGTGGAGGTCATCAAAAACACAAGTTATTAGCATGCATTCAAAGTGTGTACCAACGTGCATCTACAACAATATCAACTAAATCACATTCTTAATAAACATAAACTTACAACTTTCAATGTTTATTCTGCAAGCTTGTTTGTCCATAGGAAAGTTCGCTAAATTAAAGGCGCAGCTGAGAGTCTCCGTTAGCCTGAAAACGAAGCCAAAAATGATATTGGGGGGAGATGAACCCAAGCACCAAAGATTAATTTTAAACACACTTATACACTTAGATGTACACTGCAAAAGCACCCAAGGTTACAACAAATGAACCTACTTCGCAAATATAATCGAGAGGCATGCGACTTCGATGCCTGCAAACTTGCTACATGCACCCCCCCCCCCCTTCCCCAACACACACACGACACACTCGTTACTTGAATATCAAGTCAAAATGTTATCAGAAGCTAATAGCAGAAGCAGGTATTTAGCATCAAGATTGCTTCATGTAATCATAAAAGTAACATTGCAAAACGTTTTACCTCAGTTTTGACTGCAGAGGGTGTATTGGCACTTAATGAGCAGAAGGTGTATTGGCACTTAATGAAAAATGACTCACCTCTGCGAATACATTATATCTCCGTTAGCAGAAATGATGATCATTCTATTGGGGGTAGTAACTGTGTGAAACCTGGAGTTCTTCTCATTCATAAAATATAGATCTGGCACCCATATATCATTGCGGGTTGAATCCCCGAGAGTCACAGAGTCCAAACCGCTGGTGTTTCCAGCAAACGCAAGTCGTGGATCATTCCAATTTTGCCGTAAAAATATGTTGATTGTAAAATCCTGTGATGTAACATAAGAATAGACATGACATTTACAGTATTTATGAGTCAATGATGTGTCAAAAAACCATGCACCATTCTACTAAATCATTTGATTGTTTTTGTTATTTATTGCACAAGTACTGCCAGTTATACGATTATATTTTATTGGACATCTGCACTGTCGTCCATCAGCACGTTTTCACTAGTTTTTTGAAAAAGTTGATACTATTACAACTCCTCCTCCTGTTGGTACTTTTATTTCTACTACTACCACTAACACTTGCATTATAAATTACCCGTTCTCTTTTTTGCATGGGCGACAAGAAACTCTTTCGCTAGAATTGGATACCACCTCTAAAATCTTATATGCAGTAAATATATCAATCTCTGTCATGATCATTCTTTTAAAGTAAATATTAACACATGATGTTATTTCGAGAATTAAGAAGTAAAAACAAATCCGTTTGTGTCAGATTGTGTACATACCATTGAAACATCACTTAAATCAGCGATGAAATTGAAATGCATGCTGACGTTCACAAGAGTTGGATTACCTTTAAAAAGAAAGAAAAGTTAAATTCAAAGCATTTTACTCTATTTCCACTTCGCAGTGTATAAAAATGAGATCAGGAAATACCCTGGTCCCTTTTGAGACTATTTTCATCATTTATACGCTCTTTTCAAATGATCCTAAGTATAATGCACTATATTCTTGTAGCATTTCGCAAACACCTCTTAGTATATTGAAAAACGATATCAGGAAATACCTGGATGTCTGTTGAGACTATATATTTCGTTCTTTTCAAATAACTTTGCAAAAGATACCCAGTCATAAAGGATTATATTCTCACGACCTTTGGCAGTCACCTTTCAGTAATTTGAAAAAGATGTCAGGGAATGCCATGGTGCCCTTTGAGGCTATTTCGATCAATTAAAGCTTTCTTTGATAAATGCACAACAGTTAAGAGCATGGCAAAGTTTGATCAGCAAAGCACATTCATATCAATTACTTATGGTCTATCACACCCACTATGCAAAAACAACGTGCACAATTTGAACTGAAAGAGCTTTAAGATACCCAATTAGATAGAAAGTATTGTTGAACTCTCAGTGTAAAAAGTAGAGGGTCGATACAAAAGCATCGATAGTTATGGGGCGGATGTTTGAATGCTACTCACCAGCTTATCCAAGAGTCAGACTAATGCGCCGGCAAGGGGTATCAGACAATTACTGTGTAGCACTCGGAATTTCACTTCCTTTTAACGCATTCGTGTGTGACGCAAACGATTCATTTGAATATGGTCAAATTCATCCATACAGATAAATATAGCCGTCACACACGCCCGTTCCGGTATTTAGACATACAGTAGCAGAAAAGAGAATGACAAGCTACAGCACGGTCGTGTGCGCAAGGAATCCACCGAATAACTAATTCCATTATAGCCCAGTAGTCATCCCACTGCCTCCAATACATGAACCTATAAACTTCCTGTGAAATATTATTTCTCTTTATTCAAGGGACTGTGGTGCCCCAGGACAAATTTGGCTCGGTTGTCACTTTGTCAAAATTGGGAAACTTGATAAATCCAAGATGACTGTCAATTCCCGCAGAAGCATACACCCTTGCATAAAAAATGACCCATAATTAGTTTTGGTCCATAGCAGTGCTTCAGCCAAGTGTGCACCAGCAACATGTTTATAGGAATCCTTTAACTGTTTGGAGTTGGTTGGATGTCCATTGATAAATCCAAAAAATGACTCCCTATATATTTAGAGAGAGAAATTTGGAGAGATGCAATGTATTTTGCATTAATGAAATATAATTCAATGGGAATACTGCCCCTGTGACTGGAATAATTTCTCGGATACTCTCTGTTGCACCGGCTACATTATCGATTTGATACTAGGTCACCATTATTTCTGCACTTAATCAGTTTGGCTTATTACTTTGTTTCTGATATATGCACAAAGTTCGGTGACTTGTAGGCCCATGAGGCCGGGTGATTTGTATAGGCCTATTTATATCACGTGTCACGTTAACAAACAAATAATATTATGTTGCCTTTAAGTGTATATAAACCTCGGGGTTCGCTTTCTTTACCATTTAACGTATAAAATGATCAATTTTCCTTTAAATAATTCAGATTTAATTTTGTAAAGAGTATTTGCTTTGTCTACGAACGTTTCCTAGAATGACCATGAAGAATGGTGGATACACGGATGACAAAGGCGTTCTACATTACTGCATGTATAGAATAAACCATTCTGTTACCATTTAATTGGATGACAGGAAGGTATGAACGGTAACTCTAAATAGTTTTACGTGTGTCGCTGCTCGCAGAATTACAACAGAACTCTAAGATAGGTTGTGCTTGTGTCACGGAACTAAGAGTCCGTGTGACAGAAAGTCCGCTCTCCATATAATTGTAATGGTTAGGGTTAGTCTGACCTAAGCGGGTCAAAATTTAGGGCGAGGCTCACCTGTACAAATGAATGGGAAGCGGACTCTTTGTCAAGGGGGACTCTCTGTCACGTTACACAACTGATCCGCACTAATTGGACCAAGGAGAGATGCAGCCGTCGACATGCCACAAAACCACCTCACCTGTGTCCAGGCCAGGTCGTATTCTTGTGTCGTATTGTAACGCAGAAAGAAAATTCAGGAACTCTTGCATCTCTCGGAATTCATCTTGACTGGAATTTGTCGCCGTTCTGGAATGAGAATGTGATGATATCAGTGTGTTAAATTTCTTTTGCACATGCATATTGTGACTCAAGATTCGCAAAGTTGTGTATTCCGTCGGCGTGCATAGTTCATACAGTGTTTTTAAAAAGTTTTGGGAATTTTATCCTCCACTGCCATTAAATAGTTTGTTTTCGAGAAAAAACTTCGTGATTCAATTTTTAAAAAAAAGGGAAAATGAACAAATGTTTCACTTTAAAGCCTCTGTATAGTCCGTCTTTTGTGTACAAACATTTCCCACAAATAAAAAGTCGCTCTTATTTCCAAATTTGGAAAGAAATTCCTAGGAACGGCTTTCCATGTCATTATAGCAAATGAAAAACGATGCATGAAACTTTAATCTTGTATTTTATTACTTACAGAAAAGGAGGAAAGAAAACCTTACCTCTTCAAAGTACGCCGGTGTATTAAAGTTAATCCTGCTAAGACCAAATCCAACCATATTTCCAAACATTCTGCTCTTACTATAATTTTTCATTGCACCCAACTTTTCCGTTCTAAGAGATACGGCCATCGAAGTAACATTCGGCGAAATTCAGTTATCACGTAAGGTTACGAAGATGCGTTGTTAAGAAGCCTCATAGATAAGATTATTTCTAAGAACACCAAACTTTGGGAATGGTTGTTTCAGTCGCGCTTTTTAATCAAAGACTTGATTTTGACAGCTGTATTATCCTAACATGCTTTAATCACACACACACACACACACACACACAAAAATTAATCATATCACTGCTAATCATAACTTAATCAACACTAGTCATATCAAAAGCTCTCATGAATAACGCAAGCCCCACTAGTAATACTCACCCATTTGCCACAAATAATGTCCCTGTAGCAACAAAGACCAACACAACTGAGATAGTAGTAGTTATAATAGCCATTACTTCCATAAAATGATGTGTTTGCGACCAGTCCCTGCTTAAATGTAAGTCGCATCTGAACATGAACCCTTAGGTAAATGTTTACTGTCATAATAGATATTTGTTTTGAATGCACATTGCATTTGGATACGAAGTCGTTAAGATATATACACGGAATAAAGAATGCTACAATTTCTCCAAAAGTTATTGATCCTCAATATGTTATGGTAAACTAGAGTATCCGTGGCTCACAAAACGCGTTACGTTTTTGGTCGCTAGTTTCATTGGACCTTGAATGGGAGAATTGATTTTGTAACCACGTTTCCAGATTTCTCTTAATTCATATCATGGGTATTACACGGTTACTGTACTATTAACTGGTACGATTATACAACACTACATTTAGCATGATGAAAGTTATATAACTAGGATTCATTTCAATTGTATACAGGAAATCCATTTGAACAACAGTCTTAATATATAAGGTAAATGCAAAACAGTTACAATTAAATTGAAGAAGCGTTTTTTCGTGTACGTATGATAATTGCTTCCACTGTCATGAATCAATACAAAATCAATGGCTTGGCGGTAACAGGGATCGCGATCAAAATAACTCAAAGTACACCACCCAGTAGATCAAGTTAAAAATGAGAAATCCCCCTGTAAACACATATCTTGAATAATAATCAATCTTTTCTGCAACATATAATTTGCTTTTGTGCTTTCCACAGCGTACTGCGGACAGCCAATTGGTGCACGTGTTCCAGTCTTTTAAAGAAGTGGTTGAACTGCTTGATTCTGGCCTGGATTCGATATTCATTTTGTTGACAAGCTGAAAGACAAAAATGGCAATATTGTAAATTTTACTTGGGAAATCAGATAACCTCGTTTGAAATACTGTTTGTCAAGATCAGGACCGATTTATTACATTCAAAAACAAAAAGCTTTATTTATATAAATGTATGTATGGAAATTGGTTTAGGGTTACTCTTAATATGAATTTTATCTGTGCAAGTGAGTGTTTATGCTACTATTGAGCGCTGATGTGCATATTTACCGTTTGCCAGTTAGCATTTTGTTTCTCCTGGAGAGTCTGCCGTGGTTCAAGTGCAATCTTTTTCTCCCGGGCGTCCTTCTGCAGCAACACGTTCACAACTGCATACTCCAGCATTGAACCAACGACAAAAACTAAACAAGCCGCTAGCCAAACGTCTATAGCTTTAATATAGGAGACCTTTCGAAAAGATAAAAATGAAAATACAGATATCCGATTAACGAATTCAAAGTTTTGGGCTAAACGGTGATGGTTATTTTCATGTTCAGATAGACTATTTAAAGTTAAATTCCAACAGTCTTATAATATGTTTATTATAAATCAGATGATCGTCCTGTTAGTGAAAAAAACTTCACCCATCAAAAACCAAAACTAGATGCCTCTTTATCTAAATTTGTGCTGAATCCATCAAATGGCTACTATCGGAGATGTGAAAAAAATTCCAAGGGGCCATATAAACAAATATTCTCTAAAACTGAATTCTAAAATTCCTAATTCTGCTTGATTTACAAAGGGCAGTACAGAACCACTACCTTAGGCAGACGATCTTGAACCGTGACACTCTGAGTGGTCAGTGAGAGGATTGTGACGATACCAACGGTTGTTCTGGCGGGCACCGCTGTCGCATCGATCAGAAAGTTGACAAATGCCAGAACAACAGTGACTGTGCTGGGCAGATACACGCTGAGAAGGTAGAAACCCAGGTCCCTTGACAAATGAATGTCTAGATACAAGCAGGTGAAAGCTCCTGGAAATGGTCAAATTAGCAGTGGAGTTATCATATTAAAACTAGTCTTTCTTGTACTGGTGAATAGATGCTATGAGTAGATGCTATTGTAGTATGATTAGACAAATCCCAGAGAAATGTCAAGTTAAGGGCACCAATGACATCTACTTTTGCATTGTCTTTTAACAATGGTAATCATGAGCATTTGGGTTTTCAGAAAATTACCTCATTACGTTTGAACTTACAAAAATCACAAAAACAGTATCATTTCTCCGAGCGTCGAAAACATGAAGAAAAAATTAAACAACACCTGCCGGTGACGAACTACAGACGTGTGACAGATCTGAGGCCTGTCCACTGTGTTAACAACTGCCACAGGAATTTTTGTTCCAATAGTCAACCTTCTCTTTTTCAGATGGCTCACAAAACCCATTCATCATCTCAGTAAATCGACACTTGATTAAATTATTTTCTGAAAAAACTACACATTACCTGTAGAATAAACCGCAGTGCAATCTCCACTGGTGATATTGGTAACTTCAAATTCTGGAAGGGTCTCATCAATATTCGAATTGAATTCTATGTTCAGCCACTCGAATATTAAGTCGTCTGTTGAATGAGCGTCTGAATTTTAAACCACCAAGGTGTCAAGTTAACCGAAATGAGATTGTCTCATGAAGTGTCAAATTAAATATATAAAAAAATATTTGCCTGGTTGGTGATTTTATCTTTATTAAGAAATACTGTACAAAAAATGACAAGAAGAAAGGAACTGAAGATTATCTTTCCTATCTTTTCAGAAGGGTCGATTTTCCATTATGACAAAATATTCGACTTACAGCTTTCCATCTGTATTCGACATGTTTGATCATCCATTGGAAACCTCAAGAGGTGAAATTCACAGTTGAGGGTTGCTGACAACCTAAAATTCGTAATTTATAAAATTGAAAGTATAAACTAAAGTAATGATTTGATGTTAACGTTTTTAAGGAAAGTTATGAAAAAAATGTGGTTTTATCCTTTCATCTTTTTTTAATAAGTGGATAGATTCAAGTTTTAATTTAAGTGTGAAATCTCACACTCCACCAATGATTCCTCAAAAAAGGCATCGTGAAAAATGCAAACTCGAGTTCATATCAGTAATAGCTTCGTCTGTAGTGTTGAGTGCATAATCAATATAAACGTTTTCAAGTCCAGCAATATGTTTATAATGCATCTTTTGTGAATTGGTCATCTTCAGTACTAGGCAGTATCACTTCTTCCTACTTGACAGGATACTCGAGCAAGCAATATTAAACAAATGTGGACGGAAAAATAAGGTATTGTAAACGTGAGCGATCAGGGTTGCATTAAGTAACATTATGACTTGTTAATGTCGTACTGGTAGTGTCAGTTTATATAATAATATCAAATTATTATTATTATTATAATTGGATATTATTATATAATAATATCCAATTCTTATTATCATTTTATTAACAAATTCTGTCAACCGTGCGCAGTATCTTCTATTAACAGATATATTGAACTTATTGTTCAACATTGTCCATTTTCAGCATCAGTTTCTACAAAGGGTGAATCATTAAAGTTGCACATTAATGTTTTCTTGGTGAAGTATTGTTGGCCATGGGGGGTTTACGTAGTTTAATTAGGTTCATGAAATGCAAATAGTATTCCAACAAATACATTTCAAAAGCACGAGAGGAGACGTTCGATATTTTCTCACTTGGCTATAGAATTCGAGCAGTCACGAAATCATTCTAATTGGCATGTCTTGTTTGGTCGCAGAAAGGGATGAAAATCACAAAGGGTCCTGATTATTTTTTCATGCTGTTTCAGAAAACAAATCAAGATTTACCTTTGAGAATACAGTATTTGTCCCTGCGGGGAGATTCTGATCATTACGTTTGGAGTTGTGATGATATGAAAAAACGATGTCTTCTCGTTGGCAAAGTACAAGTCTGGCACCCATATATACTGTTTAAGTACTTCAGATAAAGTCATCATACTGGTGCTTGTAGAGTTAAAAGCCAAGCGTGGCTCATCCCATCTCTGTCGTAGAAAAAAGTTGACGGTAAAGTCCTACAAAAAAAAATTGAAATCGTTATTTCTTCTGACGTGATGAGAATTCTTACTTCTTTTTGACGCTTGGGATGTCTATTTTGTTAAAAATCTTAGAGTCTAGAAAAATGTCTATTAGAAAATTTTATGCCTGTGTTGTAAATAGTCTCTGGCACATAATCAATTAATTGAATAATTTTTAAATTTCAAACAAGTGCAGAATAAATAAATGAACGATCACAATCTCTGAGCTTAAGTCCCCTTAAAGTGGACTTTAATAAATTGAAAAAATTGCAAAACATTTTCACCTTTGCAAAAAATGTTATTGCTCAAGAAAAGAAACAAGAATACATTTGCTTCGTTCCATTAACATTTTTTGAACACCACTTTCTAGGATTAATTCTCAAAGTTTATTACTTTAACTTACCATTGAAGCATCATCCACATCTGTTATAGCACTAAACAAAACGTCAACTTTCACCACTGTCGGTTTCCCTGGTTAAAACCACACAGTTTATAAACAGTTGCTCTATAGTTTATTTGCTTTATTCCCCCCTTTGTAGCTATCCCAATACGAGCAATGTCAACAAAATGTTTAACAGAACATTTAAATGCAGATCGTTTTTTATTATTTATAGTCATATAATGTAAAACTAATATTCTAATAATTATCACATATTTTGCATTTACCTTGTCTGAAGTGAGGTCTGATGCGCTTGTCATACTGCAACTGTAGGAGATGGTCAAGGAAGGCGATCCTCTCCTCGTATTCAGTGCCAATACCAACCGCATTTGTTTGTCTACAGATACGGACAGATTTTAAATGAGAGATTTAATAAATAACCTATGTGTTTAGTGTTTCATAGGCAAATAAATTGAAATTAAAACAAAATACTTAAATGTGTATTTCTTAATCTGAGTCATTAGATATTTGAAAGACCATACGAACCCTCGACACTCGCCCCAAACCCCATCACCCCCACATACTTGACGTTTCGATTATATTTTTCCAATCCTGTAAATGTTAAACTAATCATCATGTGTATTGTGCGTCTTACTTACATTGCGCCACAATAAAAAATACAAATCGCCATGACAAATAGCAAACTGCAGAATCTATCATGTGCAGACTCCATTTTTTTACATACATGAACAATTTTCTTGTTCAGCCCTCACTCGGTACCTACTAAACTGTAATGACCGACGAAATATTTAATGTGCACTGATATCCGATCTTTTCCGCGCTGGACATTTATCGATCTATTTACACTGTGGGCTGCATGTTGTAAACGAAGACCACAGTATTTATACGCAGTTTTGGAGTTTGTCTTGAAGCTAAAATCTGGCCTAAACTCTCACCCTACGGATGTGACAGCGGAAACAAGACGTAGAGACAGATTACACGGTATTGGAAATCATCGTTAATGTATAACTCCATATTATTTCATTGCTGTGGCATTGCCCCTTACACTTCGTTGGTCACGAAGTTTGTTGAGTCCGTTATATAACAGTGAAGTACGCTAGAGTAAATACTCTACAGAAATTAAAAAGACGGAAATGGATGTAAGTCATTTTAAATAGCATGGCAAACATACCTATGGCAGAATACCTTTGATTGGAGACGACGTGCTGGTGAGTCCCGACGCATTTTGAGAAATATACCACTTTTCAGTCCTTTTATCCGGTGCTGTTAACACGAACACTTTGACGTATTTTTTTCAGTGAAAAGAAAAACCGTTTACTTTGATTGCAAAGGCAGAGCTTGAATTTTTGTCCTAGAAACGATGTTTTCCATTTTTCTACTACAGCTACAAAAAAAAAAAAAAAAAAAAAAACATCTGCATAAGATATCATATAATGCTCTCTTTTACTACACGAAGTTTACAGGCATGGCTTTAGCTTTGATGCGCATTAAAAAACTGTCAATGCTGGGTCGTGTTCAAATCGGTATAAATCAAGGATTTTTTTCAAAATGGACCATCACAGTTTATCATAAAAAAAAAACAATTCCTTTGCTCCGCAAATAAAAAAATCATCATCATCAACAATAAAACAAGCTACATATACACCATGTACTTTAAAATTACGACCAACAAATATAGTACTATACCATGCTTATTGTGTTTTGGATTTAGTGCCGACCTCGGCGAATAAACCCTTATTTAGGAGCATGAAGTCAACTTGTTACCGTATCGTAGAAAAACTCAAACTACTTGGTCAGGTATGATAGGAATGGTGGTCTAAGAAATTGATGCCCGGGGTCTCATATGATTAGTAAATGTTAGTCGAAGTATGAGGGCTAGCAGACGGGACGAATGTCACCTGTAAAAAATAATGGGGAATGGGCTACGGTTTCTAGCGGACTACCCTTCCTGCCACACCTGTCAAAGTTATACTGGAAATTATCTATTTTCGCTGCTGGTCGTTGCAGATGTGTGATCACAGGCTTGTGTGCCTCAGGTTTGGTTAAACCAAGACCTCTGCCTTTTTACGACAGTAATAGTAACAAATATGATAAGTGAAAGTTATACCTTGGGTTTGTTTTAAAGTATCCGTACATAATGGGAAAGTGGCGTATTCACTCATAAATAATTGTGACGTCCCATACTCAAAGATAATTAAGCAGATCCAAGGTAGTAGGCGAGTCTACGTTAAACATTCATCCTTGAACAGTTGTCGGTGTGGACACGTGATTGCTCGTGCAGCATCAATACCATGAATACAGTTTGTGTCGCGGGAAAGATAACACACAGGCACACCATCAATGGCGGGGTACGAACACAGCCCTCAAGACTACAGCATCTTCGGTGCCCCTCGCTCTCGTGCTGGGTCCGTGGGGGCAAAAATAGGGGACCATGGCGTGGATCGCATGCTTCCACGTCGTGGGAGCTTAGACGTGGATCTTAGCCATTTCAAACTGATGACCCCTCCGACGGCTGACGACGATGACAGTGATGACAAGCCCTCGGTATTCGTACATAAGACACCGCCTACAGACTCCAAGCAAACTGGCAATGGGTGCCAAATAATGAATAATTACCACCAAAAATTTCGGAGATTCAGTCTCGGTGGCGGCCGGAGTGATGGCAGTATCTTACCATTTTCGCCGATGGAAAATGAGCGGAAAACAACCCTTAGCACTCCCGGTAAGTGACAGAATTAGGCTTACCACCTGACCACTTCATAAAATAATCATTTCAATTATGACCCTGAGAGAGATGTGAAATTTATTTGCTTGCAAATTGATAAATAACAAAATTAATTAATAGAATTGTGCACATCAGTTTTATCTTAGACCAGTTTTGATCCCTAAACAAACAAAAAATTAAATAGTATTAGTAAATACAAGTAGATTAAATACACGCAAAAGCCCATCTACATGTTATGTAGATCACACGCGGCATACCTGTAGCTTCATTTCAAGAAGGTCTTTGAGGGGTTGTCTTTGATAAATGACAAAAAAATGTGTGTGATCTTCTATACTGAAATAGCTTTAGCTGAAACTGTGTGATCTTCAATACTGAAATAGCTTTAGCTGAAACTGACTAGAACTCCGTTTTTGAGTGACGCTTCTTGTATTTTCCCTACCACTGTGAAGGCATTATGAGTAATAATATAAGTAATAATTATGCGCTGATAGATCAAACTATTTTTTTGTCCTGTACAGTGAACTATCTAGACAGCGTGAGGAAACGTTTAGAGGGAATCTCCTTAGGGAGCAGTCCTTCATCTTCCAGCAAGGTCAGAGAACGAAAACCAGACCAAATCTTGGACATGCCGAATATACGTAACGACCTAAGTAAGTAAAAACCTCAATGTCAATTACGCATAACGTTAGCTATTTACTTTTTGTTTGAAAATGGGGCATTTGTTGATGATTTTTAAATGGTCCAATTAATTGAAATCATTCGGCGAAAAATTTGCATAAAATAAAACTTATTTCAAGAATTTTCTTCATTCACTGTTAATTTCAACATCGTCATCAGATGTAAACGTGATGGACTGGAGCAGCCAGAACATGATCGGCATTGCGTTAGAGGATCAAGTGTACTGCTGGCGGCGGGACATTGGAGAATGCATACAGGTGCCCGTGGAACTGACGGAAGAGGACGACTACGTCATGGCTTTGGGGTTCAACCCCGATGGTTCTTTACTTGCTTTAGGTTCCACACCCGATGACATAGAGGTAGGAATTTTGACTATTATAGTCATAACTTCTAAAGTGTATGATGTAAAGTGTATAAAGTTTAAGATGTAATCGTGCAAAACTTCTTACCTCAGGCCTTTTAAAAAAGCAACAATACTCTTCAAATAAAACTTTACATAAAGATATTACTCGTATTATTTGTCCAAGAATAAAAGTACCTGTGGTCGTCGTTTACATGTATTATACAGGAAGACATGAGTGCCTAGGGCTCATTGCCAATGAAACTATGGGTCTACGAGGCGTGTAAATCTGTTTGACTGAGTGCATCCAGGAAGCAAGATTGTCAGTTTTGGGAGATTGATGCTGGCACTTTCATTTGATTTTACGATCCCCATGTCAACAATATGGCTATTTAATTCTAAAAAATGGATTTTTTTAGATCTGGAATTTAGAAAAGATGAAAGTGGTACATAACATCAGATCACACAGTTGTGCAGCTGTGAGCTTGGCATGGAAAGGGACAATATTGGCAAGGTAATTTTTTCAATAAATTAAAAATGACGACTTTATCAACTTTAAAATAAGTCGATATTCATTAAGTGAAAAGAAGAGTCTGCCGTGTCCCTTTATTTGGCAGTATCAAATGCTGATATATATGTTATGGCCTCTGCCACGACCACTCCCTCCGATACACAGTTTATTATTATTATTATTATTATTATTATTATTATTATTATAAATCTGCCCCTAATAATGTCCATAAACCTGAAAGACATTATTTTACAGTGGTGATGCTGATGGTAACATCCATCTCCATGACACCCGGGCCCCGACCCCCATTGCTACCAACAAAGACCACACGTGGGTGTGCAATCTTCGGTTCAGCCCAGACGGCCGCTACCTTGCCAGCGGCGGCAAGGACAGCACAATCTGCATCCGGGAGATGAACGAACGTAGACTGTATCAGAAAATACCAGCGCACAACTCGGCAGTGAGAGTAAGTCAACAAACTGCTATCCGACTTGTATGAGAATATTTTTAAAACGATATGATTTTGTTTTTAAAGAAAGATGTGGTTTACACTTGCGTTCTCTCTCCATATCTCCATACACACCCTCATCAAATATGGTTTTAAACAATTTTCAAAAGCATGTTTTCACATTCAAATTTTAATCCCGTTAGCGTTAAAGTCACGACATTTGGACTCCTAAATTCGTCTGACTTTATGTTTGTTTGTTTATTTAAGTGACCTGTGCTATAATGCAAGTAATACAGATACATTTTTTTTCTTTTTGCACCCCAGCCCAGTCACTATTTAATTTTATATTATTCTAATATATTAATGAACAAGAAAGACTTTAATTGCCAGTGTCCACCGACTGTATACAATATTTGCTTAAATTGATATTGTAGATTTTTAAAAATATTTTCTCTTCAGGCCCTGACATGGTGCACAGGTCTACACAGTATTCTTGCGAGCGGAGGAGAACTTGGGGATGGAAGCATCCGTTTGTGGAATGTTAACAGTGGCTTGAAACTAACGGAAGTGGATACCGACTCTGGGGTAGGGTTCAATTGAAGCTATTGGCTTTTGACGCTTCTCAAAATCCATTCACTGCCTTTTACTCCCTTAATTAAATAAAGTACGTTTTACATTTTTATTCAAATGTGTCACATGACGACTAACTTAAAACAGTCTTTTAGATACCCTGTTTGAAAGTCATATTTGGATTGAAGCCCAGAAAAAAAACCAAACTGAAAATACATTTATGTGCCTATCGCCCCCCTTTAAGTGCAAGTCTTTATGTACTGTAAAGAACAGGAACAAATGAAATGTAACGTTTTGTGTTGTTACGGAGGATCCTCTTAATGAACGTGTCATACTTCGATTTTTCTCTCAGATCACTTGTATGCTGTGGAATACTAACGATCAGGAATTGATCACCGGTCACAGAGGAACCAAGCATAACCTGGTGGTCTGGAAGAACCCCAGTCAGCTACATCCTGCTTTGTATCTGGATGGGGAAGAAGAGGGCATACTTCACGTAGCACTTAGCCCAAACGAAGAAACATTAGGTGGGTATACCTCTGGTCTCTGTTATATAGACTGAGGAGAATTTTACCTTATGGCAGTTCACTACAAATTACCTACATTTAGTATCTACCAATAGGCCTACATATTTTCTCTGATTAGAAAATTGTGAAAATGATTAAGAAGAGTAACAGTCACTAATTGGCCTCTCGCTGTAGCTGTCGTTAAAGTTAGTTATATAATTGATCTTGGCAAAATTAGCTGCAGTTTCAAGTTGGCTTCACAAAATACGCCATGTATATAAATTTGAATTTAAAATGTATGACAGAATGTGATTTTATACGTGGAAAGTTCCATGTCGAATTTTTATGGTTTGAAAGATACAAAAATATGTCTTTATCACGTATGTAATGTTTTTTGTTGTCTACCGCTGAATATTCAATTTTATTATGACTTCATGATAACGAGACTTTGGCGCCACACATTTTACGTTCAGAGAATAATGAAGAATTTAAAACGGTACGTCATTGATCTTTATTTCAGCGTCAGCATCGCCAGATGAGAAAATGCGCTTATGGAACTGCTTCGGCGACGCGAACATAAAAAAGAAACAACGGTGTTGCCTTGGTTCTCCAACGACATCAGCATTACTGCGAACCATACGCTGAAAAAAGAGGTGCTGAATCAGTCATAAACTACAATAGAATAATCTACAGCATTAAAAATACTATGCCTTTACCTAATGGCCAAAAAGATAGTAAATGATTATACGTTTAGTTTGTAGAGAGCGGACCTAAAAAAACGTAGCACAATCAAAAAGTGAGCATATATAGTAGTAATCAAGATGGAGGGCTCGTCACTGTAGTTGGATTAGAACTTTCGTAATGAACCGTGTTCATGATCGTTAATTATACGTTATTTGCTACAAACTGTGTAAGTGATGTTTCATTATTCATGTAATTTGACTACCAATCTACTTGTTATAAACGTATTTGAATTGAGCAGATTCTATTTATGACGTTTTATACTTGTTGAAACGACTTCGTGTAGCAGTTCTTGTTCGTTCGCACTTTCAAGTTTATAATAATTACAAACCTTTGTAAAAACTGAATCGTCTTTTTGGTTGCTTTATAAGTATTTCGGCTTCACCTATGTTGACCCCCAGTATAAGAATTTTAGCTTATCTTTTCAACATCTCTGCCATCTCCATGCCCTCTTAAGCCCCTTTTACACTGGACGGCGTCCTTTCTGCGTCCAGCAGTACGGCCCCATTTGACAGTTAAAAAATTATAATACTTTACGTGCCGACAGCTGGCCGATCATTGAGCATTCATTCTGATACAAAATCAATACTCGTTCCTCCTTATTAAGACCACAGCGATGCCAAATTTCATGGTCGCAGAAAGACGCCGTCCAGTGTAAAGGGGGTATTACAAGTTAACGGTCGCAAAGCTTTCCAAATAGCCACTACTTACACTAAGATTCTAAGCCATCGTCCCCTCCACAGTGGCGTAATGATAGTTTCATTCTACTAATAAATGAGGCAAATTAACAAGTTCAATCACCGCTCTGAAAATAGTTATTTAATTTTTGGCCAAGACCGAAGACAGTTTTCTTCGAATCACAAATCGCAACAAATACAACAGCTACTGTATTTGGAAGGAAACCAAAGTCCACTTGTTGTAGTCTTAATAATTTTATTGCGGGGTTGGCATTTGATGAAACTGATAACAGTGTCTACACAAGGGATGGGGAAAATGCTAAAAATTGAAAATTCTTTTGGAAACAAAATCGGAATCTATTTGCGACATTACATTACCATAACATTTGCACCCCGAATTCTAAAAATCTGCTAAGAATTTAATGAAATGGGGTATAATAAAAATCAAAATTACAAAAAGGTTCAGTTAAACTCTGGAGCAGTTCCCCATAATGCTGTAGCATTGTTTTATAGCTTCTTGACAGTTATTATAATCCTGCCAGGGTCTAACCACCAGCTTCTCCAGCAGTCTAATGTGACTAAGGAATATCGGCAGTGCCGTTTTTGCATCTGCATTTCGCAGTAGTTTTTCCATTGCACTACTAAAAAGCTGTTCAGATCTTTTCAAAACTTGGACCTTAGCTGTAAGATTTTGCTCCTTGTTACATTTAATGCACTTAGAGGCGACTCCCGACATTGCGTTTAGAAGCAATGGGGCCGCACAACTACCGCATTTGAAAATGGGAACTGTGTTGGGGAGTTGGTCATACTGCAACCAGTTCTCAGCGCACGGTTGGCACTGACAAATGAAATAATATTGTTCCTTAAGCTTTGCACGTCTTTCTGGGGTAGCTGATATGGCACATAAAGCACCATAATTATCGGACACTTCACTGCCCTTTGTTACATTCCGTATGGCACGAACTATACACACGTCTCCTAAGAAATTCCTGGTCACTGCAGGATCACACGAGTGGTTGAACAAGCTCATCATTGCATAGATGGCAGCACCTATTTCCTTAGTTGTTGAAGTAGCTACATTATCAGGGTCAAGCTCCAGTTCTGAGATTTCGTGAGCATTGCAAGGTAAATTTTGCAAATGACGTAAAATCAATCCACCGAAATAACAAAGAATAGATTTGCCCACATCTTTTTCCTGGAAAAATGGCGACTTTTGCAGACATTTTAGAAGGAAAACTGACATGATGGTGCGACGAAATAGATCATTCACTGCTCTGTCTTCTGAGTGAGTGACAAGGTTGTAGATCGTTGTATAGTTATCCGACCTATACTGCCCTTTCTCATCGAGACCCCAATCTAATTCACAACAATCGCCCACCTCCTTGTGTTGGACTAGTTCTTTGAATCCTAACAGAAATTCATAACCTGCCACAAGCACCACTCTTAAAGCTAGGTGACCCATGCCGCCAATGCCACTCTGCTGAATAGTGTCCAAGTAAGGGCATTCAAACTGATGAAACCTCAACCATCCAGATTGTTTACATTTCTGACTGCAGTATCTAACAGTGCTGCACTCACTGCAGGGTATGGGGGCCACAAGTTGTTTGAAACAGCTGTGACAATGGCTAACATTGTATGGTTTCAGTAACACCGAGGCAAATGGTTTCTCTATCACAAGGGTGTCTCCAACTTGTATGTCACAAGTGGCCACTGGAAACCTGCCTAGTGTAGGGGCAGTGGTCACATCTAAGGCACTGGATGCTGACAGGTACTTCTGGCTCTGTCCATGAGATAAAACAGGCATGGGCATTGAATCATCAACTGAGTCAGCTGCAGGACCCTCACTGTCCGGTGAGGAAATATCTAATTGTTTTAACTGCTTCTCAATTTCTTGTATAAGTGATTGTTTTTTCTTACTATCAGCAGTACTAATCTCAACCAGCTGCTTTGCTATATGAAAACTCTCACATGCCTTGCCCTTTTCCTTCAGCTTGCTATAGCATTTCCCCTTTCTTTCTTCTAGTTTATACTTAAGCTCATCAGGGTAGTTATTTTCCAAAGACTGTTCAATATCCGTGAGGCAAAGGAAATATTCTTGCATATGGAATAAAACAGCAGATCTGTTGGCCAATGCCAGAGACAGATCACTTTCACCGGGTTTATCACAAACAGGAGGTGCGATAATAACACTTTCATTGTAAGCCTCTAGTGCCTTTGCATAGAATTTCTTCTGAAACAACTGATTCCCTTTCTTTCTTAGTTTAGTTGATGTCTCTGATGATTTTAAGCTAAGAGAGGGTTCTACTTGAATTGTTTCATGAAGGCAAGGAAGATCCCACACAAAGGAAAATCTTTCTTCGTCACTTTTTTGTTGGCCAAAGGCAGCTGAAATTTCCTGCAACTGGCTGCCATCTTTCAGGGTTTGACAGATTCTGTCATACCAGGTATGAAATATACCCTTTTTCTCCTCCACCTCCATTGTATTGTTACTGAAATGAGAAAAAAAAGCATTCAAACAGTGCCCCCTGCTACAACAATATTGTGTTATATTACATTTTGCATTTTATTGCACCTTATCAAAACACAGTTATTGTCCGTATAATTTAACCTACCGCGGTACCTCTGTTTGCTAAATACCTTATACATTGTACCGGTAGTGAACAAGCATGTGAAACTCGAGTAATCTGAGATGATAAAATCCAGTGCAGGTACCCATGTAAGGGCATCGCGAAAGAAAACTGGTACTAGTAGTAGATAGCAATTCATGCAAGTACCATCTTACACACTATACCTTCTGGATTCTGGATATTCCGCCGTTCCATGAGCCCAGTATCGCCTGGACCACGTGTAGACACAAATACAAGATGCACAGAATCAATTCTCAATGCATTCAGCACACTACTAACGCAGACAACTGGCAGACGTCATCATGCATGGAGCACTCTCTCCCACCTATGGGAATGAAAAGTTACTACATGCGAATGAATGGCCCTCTATCGGTGAAATACCCACGCTAAACTCGCCGGTGGGAAGCGTTTGTGGTCACATTGTTGTGATTTACATGTGAATCATATATAAAACTATTAAATGTACTGTGTTTGACAGTGCAGATTTCCATAATATGTATTATAATACACCGAGAATGTCTTCAGAGATTAAATAAAGATAAAGGTTTCTGTTTACGTGCTTTGTGTCCACTTCGACATGTGGACTCATAGGCGCAGCCATATTGTAAAGCACAAGCACCTGTTCGGTTGCTTCCGTAGAGAAATAATAACCAATCACAAGAGCTCGTTTTCCCGCCGAGCCGGCCCGAAGATGCACTTTATGCCTTTGCGGGAGTAGGAAGTTCATCCGATTTTTTTTGCAGTTGGTTGCATAGGTAAAATATGTTTTTATTAAGATTTTTATAGAATTTTTAAAGTTATCTACATATGGCTTATCAAGAGCAGTGCGGAAAACTACGACCGAGTTTGTTTGAGTAATGAGACCAACATGGCTCCCAAATGTGGCCGTGTGATTTGATTAACTTCTGCACTTCGTCACATTAAAATTCAGATAAAAATACGTCTATACAGAGGTAAAGACAAAATGTTATGATATCTGAAATTTGAAGTGTAACCTTGCTTTAATAGTGTTTGTTTTGATTGACGCATATTATATGTTTGGAAATGATTTAAAGACGGAGATTTCACTTTTGACCTAAACAATGCTTTGTCAGTTTCAGGTCATGGCTGTTGTCTGTAGCCCAGGGCCAGCTGTTGCAATTAAAGTTTAAACTACTTTTGCAAATCTGTTTTCATTACTTGCAATCAGAATCTGTGCCATGTTTAAGCTTATTTGTCATTTGCAGCGCAGTTTTGCTGTTGCCAACATGAAAAATTTTATGAGGGATGGGTGAAAATTTATGTTAAACAGGTCTAGGAGTTTTGAGTGTTGAATGGGTTGATGCTCTGTGATTTTAAAAGATGAAACTTTAGTTCCTTTACTGGAAATGCAGGACCCACAGGTGTCGGAGTTGAATACAAAAACAAATGGCCCCAAGTAAATTTGCATGCTAATTGGCAACTAGATCAAGTACAGATGTGTGAATTATTTAATTGCAGGTTGTGATGTTGCAGAAAATCTGAAAATATCAAAGGCATTTCACTGAGACTACCATTAACACAACATACTGCAGAATATCACAAAATGTACCCCATTGTTTTCCTATTTTTACATTTGAGGTTAACATTGCATTGCAGACTTATATCTACAGAAAGATAACTTGCAGATTTATTTTGCAAAGTCTTTGTTGTTCATTTTAGTTCCATGATTGTCCATTGATGACAGCATGGAAGAGCAGCAACAATCTGCCAGCCGTTCATCCAAGCCGGCTGTTCCGGTTGTCCATCGTCACCTCCCTCAGATAGCGCCAATGTCTCACAACCCAAAGATAGCACAGAGCAAGGCAAGTGCAAAACAGACCTATGCAGATGCTGAGCCTGCCATTCTACCTGGACCCATTCCCTCAGACACTGCAGCTTTCCCAAACATTGTGGCAAACATTGAAGCCAAGGTGAATGAAGAAGAAAAAGTATCAAATGCAACCCCTTCGTTGCCAAATGGAAATGTTTCTATTAGCGATCACGCTATAGGTGACACAAGTGATGGTAATGAGAATGGAGGTGAAAAGAAGGTGAAAAGTAGAGTAGCTTCACCTGCTAAGATGAGAATTAAGAAAGGCACCAAGGTAAATTCAGGAGACTCTATACCAGATAATCTGCCTGCGGAATCTGTGGCTAAAGCTGCCCCAACTGAGGCAAGTGCCAATGGCATTGCTGATAATTCTGGGAAACGGCGACGAAAGAAAAAGGACCTTGATAAGGAGGATGAGACATTGTCAGGGTCCGTGAAGTCAACGCCCCCTTCCACTCCACCCAAACTCAGTAAACCTATACAGCAGTTGGAGGCAGAAAGACCACCCAAGTGGCTGGTTGGGGAGATGGTGTGGTCTAAAGTCTCAGGTCATCCATGGTGGCCGTGCATGGTCACTTATGACCCCCTAGAAGGGGTATATACAAAATTTCAAGGTAACATTTGTGTGATGTATCATGTATGTTCATATGCATTAAAAAGAATTTATTTTTAAGTAGTCTTAGGGTGCTTTCCCAGAGATTTAGATCGATCTAAAGATTAAGTTTTAGATCGACCTAACTCCTTGGGGGTTCAGGCTAAATTGCAGTCAGCCGAGCGGACACCATAGTTAATTACCCCTTTACAGTTTTTAGTAGGGGGGACAGACGCTTAAGCCGGCCAAGCTGACAGTAATCTAGTGAGACTCCCCACAGGGATAGATCGATCTAAAAATCTATGGAAATGGGGTGTTATATCCTTGCTTCATTCTTCTTTGATGTAGCTACAGGAAGTCAAGTGCAATCTCTAAATGGGGGAATTTAAGAAATTTGTTTAAACAAATTGCTGTTTAACTTTGCATAAAGGATATAGTAACTAGAAAATAAAAAAAAAACATTGGGAAGTGATTGTGCCTGATGACTTTCAATATTCAGAGATGACAAAAGATTTAAGGATGGTCAAGTTGTGAGTTTGCATTAATAACTGATTTAAATGTCCTACTTCCACTTTTCTTTGGCTTTTTACCTCCAAGTTCAATCACAGTTTTAATATGATTTCAGGTGTAACCAGGAAATACCATATGCAGTTTTTTGGTGAGGTGGCAGAGCGCGGCTGGGTGACAGAAACCAGTACTCTCCCCTATGAGGGCAAGGCAGCTTTTGATAAATACATTCAGGACAAGATGGCAGCAGCACCCAACAAAACTGCCAAAGCACAAATAGCTCACAAATTTGAGGTGTCTTCACGAAGGAAGTTTGCCAGGGACTTTGCTGTTGAGTGCGCAGAGGAGGCATTTCAGATGCCTCGTAACGAACGCAAGCACAAGTACACCTTTGTTTACGAAGATCTCAAACCAAACGACCAATCTCAGGGAGCTGATGGAGCCACAGAGAAACCAGGATCTGATTTACCAAATGGAGTCATCAAACCAAAGAGGCCTTACAACAAAAGAAAGCTTAGTAATAAAGAATCTGTTAGTTCATCGCCAGTTGCAAAGAAAAGCAGGACAGGTCCGGAAATGCACACCAACTCAGAAGAGGCATCGCCAAAGAAAACCAGCAGGGCATTAAAAGAGAAATCTCCAGGTCAGTTCTTAGTTTTTTGTGAGAAGCATCGGGATCAGGTTAAGTCAGAACACAATGAATTTGATGAGGCCATGGTTGAGGCGTACCTGAAGCAGCAGTGGAACGCTATGAACGACAAACAGAGGGGAAGGTATACGTCCAAGTTCCAGAGTAACAGTGAGGGCCCAGACGAGGAAGAAGGGGCAGGGACCACTGAAGAAAGTTAGTGAAAGATAAGTTTGTAAATTAAAATAAGAAGGATTGTAATAAAAATTACCACCATCTTGACCACCTTTCTTACAAGTTTTTAAGGAGGCCACTGAATGTACACAAAAGTTTGTCTTATTAGGTATTTTTAGTCTTAATGTTTTGTCTCCTTGAAAAAGTTTCTTTCAGGGTTAAATTAAAAAGGCATAAATGTTTGTTGGGTTTTCATTGCTTACTAGAAATAAGCTAGTGAAATGGTAACTTTTTTCTCAACCTCCAGGAGGAGTAAAGACTTCTTCAAGGCTTCCCAAACCATCCAAAAAGGTCCTGGAGGCCCACACAGCTAAACATGCAAGGCGTAAAAAGTTAAAAAAGAGAGGCAGAAAGGTAGAAAACAGTCCTGATTTATCCAAAATAGAGCTTAATGTATATTTTTTTCTGGATAGGTCATTGTTTAAGATTATTTGTTTTAAAATCAGTCAAGATAAAGTACACAGTTGATTTTTGTGCATCGTAGTATAATATTTGACCTTCCTTGCTTATTGGTATCTTTTTGATGATATCCCTTTAATAATTATTATACATTTGAAACTGCTTGGTAATAATATTGTGATAGGTAATAATCAACCTTTGTCAAGTCTTAATTATTATGTTTTGTAGATTGTACACTTATACTACAAAATATGTTAAAGGTCAAATGTGAATCGATTACTGGTGAGGTTTTTGTACATTTATGCCATAACCTATAATTTAATCGATTCCCATTTAACCACTTTATTCATAATCATTGAACAGAGCATGATGTTTTTCTTTAATTTAAACAAGTAATCAAGTCTGTTGTGCTTAATTTTGTTAAAATGTTTATGTCTACAGCCGAAGACGGATGGCCAGCCAGGTTCAGGCAGCAGTCTTGATGATGTCATCAACAGTGTTGTAGCTGGCTGTGGAAAGGTTAGATTATGTACAGTGTTGTTAAAAAAGTAAATTCTTTCTGATGAGATTAAATGGGTTTTTAT